TTAGACTAAATATCTCATGTAAAAGTTTTACTTTTCAGTTTGTTCCATTGTAGTAACTTACACTTTCGTTTCTTCAATGGTGAGTTTTAGTCTTCCTTTTTCTTAGTTTTTTTTTATTTCTCGATTCCGGCTCTTTTATTACTTTTAATTTGTATATAATTATTTTTAAAAACAAAAGAAATATTTATTCGTAATTAAACAATATCTCAATATATTTAACTTTCGTCAACCAAACCATTGTCATCATTGAAACATTGAGACAATGTTAAATAAAAAGTGGTATATAACTAAATATATAAATTTTACAATTATATACTTGATTTGTTATTATAAATTAACCTCAAAATTTTCAATAAATTCACGTTTTATATAAAATCTCGCTGACGATCATGAAAAATGTTGTTCGATACACGTGCGCTGTCTTATTTTTCAGGTCTTCGACTTCCATTGCAGCACTCAGCTTCGCTTCGTGCCGCAAAATTTGGTCTCAGACCTGAAAAATTATTTGACAGCGCACTTGTATCGAAAATAACTATTCTGTTTTATAGATAGATTATACAGTGAGATCAAAAAGTCTGTCTAACAAGCAAGCGTAGAAATTTAAAACGTATGTCTGTGGAAGATAAAATGTCACAATGACAAATGAGAAATGTCAAAATATTTTTTATGTAAATTGTGACTGGAAACCGTGGTGAACGATTTTTATGAATAAACACCAACAAAATTGTGTTTTAGTTTGTTTTGAGACGTTTCATAGAATAATTCAATTTAATTAGCTCAATGTTTTAATTTTTATAAAATAATTTTTTGACATCTAGGTAACATACGAACTGCCATGCAACATACGTCCTCAACTAGGACGCCTGCTTGATAGAAAGACTTTTTAATCGCACTGTAGATCCTATATAAGTTTTTTTTCCCTATTGTTTTTACCCTCTTATTTCTATCAACTCTTGGGATTCTTGCATCTTTTATTAGGATATTTTTTTTTTTTTTAGTTATATCTTAATTCTTTTTTGTTTCACATTTCTTAGTCATAAATTAGTTTTTTTTTTCTTCTTCATTTTGTAGCTCATTTCAAAATTATCAATTCGTTAGTTTTTTTTTTTACTTTTTATGCCTCGTTTCCAACGTTTACTTTTTTATTTCATATTATCTCTTACCATATGCATTTCTCTTTTTTACGTAGCCACTTTATAAAAAGTTTAATACATACACTGAAATAAACTCAAAAGGTGTTTGTTTCAAAAAAGCAAGTTTATTTTCTTTTAGTATCCTGCATTTGTTCATTTCATAAACGTCACGCCTTGTTGTACTTTAATCTTCTGTCACCAGATGCACCTTCAAACAATTTTCCCTTTTGCTTTTTCAAAACAAAACACTTTGAAAGTTTGCCTTGTAAATTGAGTTCTTTTATTGTAAAGAAAAAAATCTTTGTTGCAATTTAAAAGCATAAAAATCCGTAAATAATTGTCAAAAATTGGCATTTTTCAGTTGAGAATAAACGAGTGTAAATATTTGTTTCGTGTCCTATTAGAATTTATCGCAAGCAATCGATATTTAATTTGGATTTCCCGGTTTAAAAGCAATATCTTGGCGATAATCCGATGATATCGAAGATGCTACACTTGATTAGGTTTAGGGAATTTACCGGCGGCGGCACAGCGATTTAATTACGACACGAAGAAGGTATCTCCTCTGATGAGATTCGACTTTTCTTCGAGACAAGCTTGAAATGTTCGAGTGGGGTAATGAAGGGGCTTTTGAGGCGGATTTTCTGCTTATTAGGTGATATGACTTGTTACAGCAAATCCGTGTCGAAGGAAAATGTTTTGCTTATTCCGATGAAAATAATAAAAGTCGTTCTGTTTTTTTCACTTTATTCTAAAAAGTTGTATTTATGAAATTTTTGCAATTTGTGTTTTATTATTTCGAGAGCAAACACAGCCATCATTCAGTATCGACCCAAAAAGACTTAATCAAAGTTTCACCAGACTACGTTTAATTTCGGTTTGCAAACGAAGCGGAAATTGCATATTTGTATGGCAAGGTGACACAGTCGTATAATTTGAAGTTTCAAGCTAAATAACAACGTACAGAACTCTCCATGTTAAATTTTGAAATAAATTTAGACCCAATTTAGTGAACACGTACTTGAATTTATTGTTAATTAAATTTGTACATATATTTTACATTACCTATATTTTGTGAGAAGAAATTTAAGTGAGTTAAGACATTTCAACCGTGTATTGTTAGAAAGAGTTAAATCAATGACAAAAACAAATTTTATATAAAAAACAAAATAGGCTATTTTTACAGACTACTTTTAATAAGACTACTCTTCTTTCACTACAAAAAACTGAAATTCAGTTTGCGTTAAAGTTCCAGATGTTAAATTGAAAGTAGCTCTAATTGCTGTTAGAAAACTGTTATCTAAGCATTTGTTTTCTTGAAATTCTTTGATTCAGGTTGATTTTTGGCTTAAAACTGAACCAAATCGATTGCAAATAGCACAAATTGTTTCATTTTGGATTAAAATTAGACTTTAGGCAGTTATATTATTAAAGAAAATTGTTAATTAAGCATTTATTTTGTTGAAAAACTCGGATTTAGGGTGATTTTCGGCTCAAAATTGAGCTAAATCGATTGCAAATAGCACAAATTAACTTATTTTGCACTAAAATTGGATTTGAAGCAATTATTTTTATAAAATTTTATAAAATACTCAGTGAAGTGAATCAAAGAAAGTTAATGTTTTATGTGTTTCAGTATCTTTAATTAAAATAAATATTTACACTTGTTTACTTTGGAGAAAAATAGTAAGAGTACGTTTGAAATAAGCAATGTTTTCGTAATAGAGAAAAACACGATTTTCAAAACATTCTCTTATAACGAAGAAAATTTGAGAACTTGCGTCTCAAAGGAAAATATCATGTAAGGTAAAATACCAGGAACAAATAATGTTAAAAAATTCTATCTAAAAAAATTTTGAAATTATGGGAGTTTAAATTTTGCACTTTGACTTTATTTATTTCTGTTGAAAAACTAATTTTTCATGTTTTTTTGCTTCAGACTATTAGAAGAGGAATTGTTTCCTCTTACAATTTAGGATTACTCTCTGTTTAACGTTATTTGTGACACTATAGATGTAAAGAAATACGCCATAGAAAAATTAATTTAAAAGAGAAATGTTTATTTCTTTATTTCGTTGACATTGCTAGTGCCATCTATCAATTCTGTTTTATCCTATTCTGTCTTCTGTATTTAAATGTAATAATTTTGAAAAATTAAAAACACTGAATAAAACAAGAAGAAACAAAAAATTAAAAACGAAAAATGAATAATAATGCAAAAATCAAACAAGACAGACAAAAAAATTAGAATTAAGAATAGTAAAAAATAAAGTGAAAATGTTTTTATTAAAATAAGTGCACTAAAAAACAAAAAATATGGAATACAAAATCAAATATTGCAAATAAAAGAATTAAAACGAGAAGTAAACTCATAGTAAAGAAACAAAAAATAAGCTGATAATAAAAGCACGTAAATGGATAATGAACAATAAGAATGTTAAACAAAAAACTTAAATTGAAAAAGTGTGTTAGAAATAATAATAAACAAAGAGAATTGATAGACGCTAATTAACATTTTATCATACGGTTATTAAAAATTGAGTCTATTTATTTTTACGTTAATAATTGAAAATATTACATTCTTACTATTACAACTTTTGAGGTAAATTACTTATGACTTCTTGAAATATGTAGAATTGTTATGTTTGATAAGTCTAATTTATTTTTCTTCCATCTTTTCTTGTTTGGTCAACTGTTCTGAAAATACATATTATTCAATTATAGTTTATGTTTTTAAATCTGACTTAATATTTGTAGTCAAGAATTTAAAAAAAAATGGTTTTGTTTTTTAATTTGTTCTTTAGTTTTAACTGAAAAAAATACTATAGAAAATGAAGCATAGAATAAAAAAAGTTGAATGAAACAAAACGATAATAATTAACTAGTGGAAAATTATGAAAATAATCAAAAATAATTATAAAATTAGTAGTGAAAAACTTCATACAAAAAAATGGGAAATAGGAATTAAAAAATACCAAAACGAAAACACGAATTGCGAAGTGGTGAAATGAAATTAAATAATCTGAAACAAGAATTTAAAATAAAGATTACCAAACCAGAAATAAAGAATAAGAAACAAAAAATACCAGAAATGTAAACAACAAAGATTAAAACTACAAGAAACGGCTAAATATCACAAAACAATATTTAAAATTATTAATAAAATTTCGAAAAATATACATGTTTTTTATTACAGAATAGCATGTTAACCATGTCTTAAATGCCACTCATTTATGCACTATTTTAACAACTATTTTAACTTAAAACAAAATTTCATACAGGTGTAAAAATTGTATGCAGATTTTGTGTTTCTGTTTTAACCACTTAAATAATAAAAAAACACTTACAGTGGGATTAAAACTAAATATTGTACGAATTTTTTTTGCAAATGTTGGTGTAAAAATAACAAATTATGACACCTTGCTGTCTTTTACTCTCAAGTCTACAAATTTTTTTTATTCAATATTTTATACCAATGTAATAAAGTGCACCTTCTTAAAACTTTCTCCAGGGTATTTCCTTTCCCCTGTCGCAACTTTCTTTACCCCGACATTGAAAAAATTAATCTTCCGAGGGAATGTGTCTTCAGCTGTCACGCCATCGTCATAATTCGTCGCGTGTTCTTAAAAAGTGACGTAACCCGTCGCTATTACTCTATTTTTAAGGTAAGGAAAGCTTCAACTTCCCGATTAAATCATAAAAAATCCACATTTTTATCGTTAATATTAAAATTGAGCGTGAAGGTGAAAGGAGAAGTCGCGTAATTTGAAACTTTGAATAATGATCGAGAAGTTTCAAGTCGGTGTTAATTTGCTAAGACTTGAAAGGGGGTGCTTTTTCAGTGATGGATTGTTGTTTTTTTTGCAGATGAGGCTCTAACTTGCAACGTCTGCGATAGGACCTTCTCGTGCCCCAAGCAGTTGTCGTCACATAAACAGAAGAAGCGACATTTTGGGTAAGTTAAAAAAACATAGAGTTGTAATTTTGCATGTCTCGAGGGAGTTACGATGGCTCGAATAAAATATGGAAATTTGCGAATCTTTGATACTTGTGGCGAGGTTTGAATTTTTAAAGAATTTGAATACGAGATTACACTCTTTTATATTTTTTCCTCCTATCCACTCTAATTGAAAAAAAAGTATACAGGGTGTAAAGTTGGTAAAGTCCAATATTGACCTTTAAGCGATAAAATTTTAAAACGTGTATATAAGAAATTGATAATCTAGTCCATCATCTAAAATTATTTTCAACTAGGTATACAGCGTGTTTCAAAAATAAGTTACAATACAAACTTGTATTTTTTAAACATGTTTCTTAGCATTTTTGGATGTAGATTTTTTTGACAATATTTTTAATCTAAACTTTTATTGGTCAAACAGTGCATGTTTTCGTCAAGAAAACCGTCTTATTTTTAAAACTAAGCTAAATCGAGCAATAAAAGTTTAGCTTGAAAACATTGTGATAAAAATCTACATCCAAAAATGCTAAGAAACTTATGGTGTTTTATTTAAAAAAACACAAGTTTGTATTGTAACTTATTTTTGGGACACGCTGTATAGTTGAAAATAATTTTAAGCGATAGACAAGATTAGTATCTATCAAATTTCTATATACATGTTTTAAAATTTTCTCGTTTATAGTAAAATAGTTTTCCTAAGACCTACTAAAAATTGTTAAGAGTAAACCAGAGGGTAAACAAATCGTAAATTAGTGGAACACACCCGGACCCTGAAACAAATCAGTTTTTAATAGGGCCGGATTACTTATTTTCTTTTTGTCTAAAATACTTGAAATATTTTAATAGTTTTTGATGTAGTTGTTATTAAAGTCAAGTGTGTTAAGAAATTTAAAAAAGCCAGGTGGTTATTAAAATGCTATTATTAAATAAAGCTGTTTTTTTTAATAATAGCTTGGTAAATCTCTACCACTACTTTGGTTTTAAATACGGTCCTGTTTTATTCTAGTGGGTGCAGCAACACTTGCAAAGAAACGTGCCATTTATGGAGAGTTACAAATTTAAGCCATTGTTTGGTTAATCCCTTACAATGTGTCATAAAATTTTTAGTAGGTCTTAGGAAAACGATTTTTCTATAAAGCTCAATATTGGACTTTACCAGCTCGCTGGAATACCTTGTATAATTAAATATTGCGTTGAGATTAATTTCATATGCTGTTAACTGAAACCACTCATGCAATTCTCAGTTTCTAATTACATTTTACTGTTTGATATTACAAATCAAATAATCGCAGATTAAATCACTATTGCTGTTTTCTCTTGCATTTCATTTAAATATGTAATAATCGGTCATTCATATTGGTTTACAAACTCAGCGAAATAATAACTTTAGTGTTACTTCTTCTTGGATCCTCTTGGTATGGAAACGATGAACAAAAACAAGATTAAACCATCACACCAAACTTTTATTTCAAACACAACGCGTTTCAACCACAAAATGGTCATCCTCAAGTGAGGATAAAACTTTTTTATTAGTTTTATTTTCACCTGAGGATGACCACTTTGTGGAGAATAAAGAGTTTTATTCTCACCTAAGGATGACCACTTTGTGGTTGAAATGCGTTGTGTTTGAAATAAAAGTTTGGTGTTCAACTTTAGTGTTCGTTTTCTCAAGTAAAAAAGTCTAGGCTAGTTTTGAATTTTTTTTGCGTTGTTGAGTATTAAAAAAATCATGAATTTACCATTGGCTGTTTTATTTAGTTTTTAACAATGTGTATGAATTTTTTATTTAATGCAATGCATTTAATGCAATGTTTTATTTGTTTGTTGTAAAACATAATTTTCGTAACGTTAAACTTTGAAGTTTGTTTTTAAAATTTTAGATTTTGTTAATCCTGTGTATTACTATAAGGTTTTTGACAGCTTAATAATTGTAAATTGTTAAATGTTATTCATACTATAACAACATAAATTGACAAAATAATAAAATTTATCTTTTATTATTTTTCTTATTATCCCGGCGCATCCACCATTTTTACAAAACATTGTAAATAGGTAAAGCGTTTTAAAACATTTTATTAGAATTATTTATTCATTTTTGATTTTACTCTTAAAAAAACAATTTCGTTTTTTATTTAAATTTGTTTATTATTATTAAAAAAATTAACGACCTGTTTATTTTTACTAGTTATTAATTTTGTATAATTATTTTAAAACTTTTTAATTTATAGAGTGCGACTTTGCAATAGATTTTAAACACAATATTTTGTTGTAAACTCCAACAATTGAATTTCTAAAAAAATATCCTATAATTTTAAAATAAAGTTTGTGACATTAAATAATAGTGAGACAAACCCTGAACGAGAATAAGCTATTGGAGCGTTTCACACATCATACAGGCTGGATTATGAAAAACGTCCCAAGTCATAACTCCAACTAACATTAAAAAAAATGACAATACTTAATTTAAGAACAAAGTTGCATAGATTATTGTCATCTATTATATGCGACTTTCCGTTTCACCAAAAGTGACATCAGTTTAATTTTTTTAAATAAAACATCTTATATATTTTATTATTTTTTAATTCTTTAGTAAAATGTTTTTCAACAAGCTTACTAACAATTATTTATCAGTAACTTAGGCAATTTGAAAATTAAATTAAATAAAGTAGCTTGTGGGAAGTTATAAAACATTTTAATTGTTTTTATTCGGTTTTTATAGTCCTGTCTGTATAAACAACATATGTTTCACAATATTTAATAAAATTATTTCTAATACTTTGCAACTGTATCGTTGGCAGTGTGTGAAATTCAATGTGTGAAATGCGTACTTCACGCACTGTTGTGAATTAAATAACAGCCGACTTTACGTGAAGTTTAACTTCACACATGATTGGAGAAAATAGTTGTGAAAATATTAGTGAAATTTAACTTTACACATAATTGTCGCAAATAATTATTTTTTTTATTATACCTGCATCATAATCCTAAATTATAACACGCTGCAGCGTGCGTAATTTGGCCTTTATAGCACGCTGAAATTTTAAAGTTGTCTAGGTAACAAGAAATAGTGAAATGTGTGGACCAATTACAACGTGAAAAAATGTGCTTAACAACGTAAACTAGTAACAGTCTCTACGAAAACAATTCACAAACAACCTTTGATAATTTTATTGTGTAAATTCATATTTTTTCAATGCTCATAAAAGATTGTAAATGGGCAGGTATAATAAAAAATAGCGTATAACACTCGTTTATAAGCGTTTATAAGTTTATAACACTTACGACGTTAAAAGCACGACCGTCGTGCGTGTTTTAAAGGCTAGTATTATAATATACTATTATACAGGGTGCGCCAGAACTCGCGTCCCAGAGAAAAATTTCAAGTAAGATGAGATACCAGGAACATTGAAAAAAGGTTTAAAAAATTCTATCTGTCAAAAAATTTTGACATATATTTTTTGACATTTGACATTTTTAAATATCTATTTAATGACTGATGATCTTGTATATATTTTTCTACAATTATTTAGTAAAGATACAAAAATTTTGCCAATAAAAGCCACAAATAACATTAAACAAAGTTAGAATTTAGAATACAGCTTCTTCTAATAACCTGTAGCAAAAAAAACTTGAAAACTTATTTTTCCAACAGAAATAAATAGAGTCAAAGTGCAAAATTTAAACTCTCATAACTTCGAAACTTTTATAGATAATTTTTTTTAACATTTTTTCCATGTTACTGGTATCTTACCTTATATGGCATTTATCTCTGGGGCGCGAGTTCTGACGCACCCTGTATTAAGTTTGCAAAATGACTAATTTTTTAATGCGAGAATATACGCGAGATTGTATTTAAGCCTTAAAAACCAATTTCACACACATAACATAAATAACGTTTTTTCTACAATATTTACTCGTAAATTAATAGGAGTAATTCAAAATTTAGTTTCTGTCAGTCCGTGAAATGCCGTCAATGTGTGAAATAAGCATTTTGCGTATTAATTTCGCATGTAAAGTTTAACTTTAGACATGATTGTAGAAAAATAACTATTTTCAAATAAAATAACTATCACAAAATGAGTTCTTAACTAAAAAGATTGATATCGAGTTTTTGTAAACTGTATTAAAACTTTTTTGCTCTTACTACACTTTGTAATACAAATTTTCTTACTTAAAATAGAAGTTCTAATAACTTCTGTATAGGTTTAAAAATAAACAGAATCTTATATAACTTTGAAGCGATTATCAACAGTTAGTAACTTTAAGCTACTCCAAATCGTTCAAAAACTCGCTTTGAATAAAGTTGTAAAAGTCGTTGTGGCTTTTCACAACTCTATGAAAAGTCGCACTGAGCTCAGAATCAGCTATTGTGCCACATTTGCATAAATACATAAATTACAAATTGATCGATTGAATATTAACCTGACTTGAATATTTGAAAGGAAAACAAAAAAGATTTGAATTAAGTAACACTTGACATTTTTCCAATTTTATTTTTTAACCACCATCGAAAATTCCTGAAATATTTTTACCCTCAAGCTGGCACGCGGTCGATAAAACCAGCTTGTACAAAATGAAACTGCCTTAAGGCCTAACAAAACCGATAAATTCGCGGAATTATTAATCAAAACTCCAACAATCCTGCTTTTTGTTTCTGTACATTTACCTTTCGTTTCATTTAGTGGTTTTTAATTTAAACAACTCCGAATTCTCTGTAATAATTTAATCAGGATTGAGGCAAAAGTTAATTGCTTGTTTAAAGTATTATACTGGTGATCGTATCGATTTTGCCATACAGTGAAGGTATTACAATGTTGTAGATAATTTCAATAACATCGTGTAAAGACAATGCATGATGGAAGCCTTTGAGTGGATAATGTGTAAGCAGTAGAGTGTATCGCGTTCGAGAGGATGAAGAGGGTTGAAATTAATGAAACAGATCGGCTGAAACGGCCCCAAACGGGGGCGCTTGTGTGTGACAATGGCTAGCAGCTTGGCAATAGCGAAATTGCGCCAATAAATTGATAATACGTTGCTATTGTCGAAGACGTGAAATTGGAAGAGTCGACTTTTTACTTTTTATTTAGAGTTGGGAGTGAATGCGAAATCAAAATCGCTGAAAGATTTTAAAAAGAACTAAATAAACAATGCATTATTTTCTGCAGCTGTGATTTGGAGAGGAAAAGTTTTCGTTGACTTATTATTCAAGTCCCTTCAAAGTGTATTGTGATTTATTTACTAACACAATTGGATCAGTAATAAAAAGTCAATAACTCTGTTACATAGAGTTTAGGGTTGCCAACCGTCCTGAATTGTGCAGGAAATTCTTGATTCAGTCTTGCAATTATAGCGTTTTCAAAAAAATACTTCTACTACTAAAGCTATCTAAAGCTTCTGTTTTTTGTATTTTAAAAATTATGAATTTTAGGTTTATTTTAGTTTTTTTAGAATTTGACCTGTTTTTTCTTAACCTTTCTCTTGTGAATTTAAATTTTTACCTAGCAATCCTAATGGAGTGCACAATTATTTATCTACCTACGTTAAAACACGATTACAGAGAAAAACCGATTTATTTCAATGTTGTCTTTTTAGACTTTAATACACTTCTATCAGTTCTTCTACAAAGTTGTTTTTTCAGTTAGTGATTTTTATTGGTGAAAAAATTAAATCTTTTAAAAAACTATAAAACTTTTTTTTCTCATTTTTTTATTTGAGTCTTTTGAGTCTTTAACAACACATGACCGTTTGTTATCGAATTTTTATCTTTTTGGTTACTTTTTATTTCACATGACAATTAATGTCAAATTTAAAAAATCAGCAACTAAATTGGAATATTTCTAATTTTTTATTAAAAAAAAAAATAAAAACGTATTATACACGTAAAGAAAAGTTGGCATAATCTGCTCGTGATTTTTTTCTAAAACGAGTGCGTAGCAGATAATGAACAACTTTTTTTTGCTTGTACGTAATAATAAACTACGTAGTATGGTTTTTATTTAAATAATATTAAATAAATAACTTCTAACAAAAGTTTAACATTAAATAATAATGCTTAAAAAAATCACACAACCATTTTTGATCTTAGGACTTAGTAATTTCAAAAAATGTTATTAAAACAATTCCGATATTTCCGATTTTAAATTGTCCGTAGTTTTCTAACTTTTTTTAGACAATTTGCAGCGGTTTTTACAATTGTTGAATAAATTCATTTTATGGGTTAAATATGCATTGTTATAACACTTGTAACTATAGCAATTACATTCCCAATAACCTTACTGGGATTATAAAAATTGTCCTTAAAGATTTAAGTTTAACTTTTAAAATAAAAGTGTTAACACTATGACTATAAAAAGTAGAATATGTGTTGATATTTTTTTAATTTAAAACTTTTAGAAGAATTAAATCTAAAGCAGATTTTATTAATTTTCAAGAAATTATATATATCGACTCCACTGCAACCGGAATTAAATCAGAATTTAGTAAGAATATAAAAATATGCAAATTACTATTTCTAAAAATAAATATTTTATAAGTAATTTTATATGTTTAGTAAATTAAATATGGACTTCTTGTATAAGTCAATATAGTAGTAGAACATAATAAAAAATTAAAAACTTACAAGATGTAATAAAAAATTTATTTTTTAAATTTTTTGGTAGAACATAGTAAAAAAAATTTTTTTACAAATATAATTTAATTCATTAATTTAATTTAATTTTTTTTCGTTTTTAACCTAAAATACCAGGTACAAATACCTTTTGATGATTTTATTGGCCTTTCGAAATTCCAATTTTTGTTAAAACTGTAGTATAAACGTTGTTTGTTATAACATCAATTACGCTTTAAAAATAAATGTACCTGCAAGCCGTAATGAAACTTTTACCGTTTTACTCCAGCACTAAATTTATTAGAATAATTTATTCCTCTTTAATGAGTTTTTTAATAGTTGAAAAAATGCTTTTGATTGCAGCACTAGTGTGGTAATAAAAAATAAACCGTAGGTAAATATTAATTTTAATTGGTTTTAAACTAATTAAAAATTGTACGAAATTGAAACGTACAGAGGTTTAAACCTCTCAACCACGATCAAAGTTAATTAGATCATATTTTGTAACGAAAAATTTTTATAGCTTCGTATTCATAAATTTGCTTCAATTTGATCGATGCAAACATAGTCGCATTTGCAGCTTTCCTGGTTAACTTTTATAACTCCAACGCTCTGTAATCAAAAATACAAATTGGAATCAGTATTGACTTTGTCCTTTTATGACTTTAATGCTAATATCAACACGATAGTCCCTATTTTGTGTTTTTATCAATTTTAATCCATCAAATTGGAAACGTCACCTCCGAGATCTGAAAACCAATTTGTTACAAACGCATCTGGTGGTGGTGGTTATAATTGAATTTTTTCTTGCAGGTGCTCTGCTTGTGACAGTCTTTTCCCATCACTGATGGCTCTTGAACATCACAAGGAAGAGTTTGAGCACTGGTCAGGCGATGAAGATATTTGTACAGATTCGGAAGATGACGATGAAACTGTCATCAGTGAAGAATGCGAACGACTTCTATAAAGGAAACCTAGAACCAACCTTCCATTTTTAGACGACCAAATTACGTTTGATATTCATTTGTAGGATTAATCCAATTGTAAATATTTATTTTTGCAATGTTGTGATTGTAAGATGATTGAGCATATCCTTTGTAAGAGAACGTTTGTAGAAAATCTATCAACCAAAAATTATTTTTAATTGAATAAAAATTTAACTCCTGGCTGGGATTATTAATATCTGTTTAGTGTATTACGTTTTCTTATATTCTTTTCTTTTAGTTTTTTTTTTCAGAATAAGCTTGATAGTCTTAAATAAATTTTGGATATCTTTATGACTTAACAAAGTTCCAGTTTTTTACCACACATTTTAAGACTAAAAATTACATTAATTGAAAAGAATTGAAAATTTTATGAAAAATTGAAATGAAAATTTTATGTGTAATAAATAAAAGCTTAAAAAAGAAACTATTTTATTTTTAATAGAATCTATTTTATTTTATCTAACTAACTCTACAGTACCTACGTTTTAATTTAATCTCTTCATGTTTTTACAATTTGAATCACTTGTAATTTTTTAACGTTGATACATTTTAATTTTAAAAAACTAGCAAAATTATAGTTTTTTGACGCATGATTTGAGACTATGGAAATCAAAAATAATAAATAATAAGTAATACAAAAAAGGGTCAACAGTTAGTGGTTTTTAATACCGTGCGATCAAAAAAAAACATAAAAGTAGGCGGTGATTAAAGTCGTTCAGATGGCAATCCTGATTTTTGACATTAAATGTCAGCGAAAACTTTGAAAAGTTTGCGTTTTATTCATTTTGAGTGAAATAATGTTCACTTTAGAGCAGCAAATTTTTATTGTTGTACAAGATATAAACGGTGAATGGTCATTTTCACTTTCAGTTTGTGTAGAAAATTTCCAGCCCAGACTCCCAGCCAATGTGTTGCCAACTGTAGAATTTAATCGACGCCTACTCTAATTTATTTTTTTTTTGATCGCACGAAATGTTCTCCTTTTATAATTTTTTTTGTGTCAAATTTATCAAAAAATAGCAACACTGCGTTTAATTAACAGGGTTCTCTGAAGGAGAACTTGTGAAAATTAAAACGACTATTATGCAACGTTTCGTCTATTAAACCATAAACATCATCAGGCAATAGAAAAACTGGTAAAAACATCGACATTTACATAGTAGATTAACCTAACAATCCTTTTGAAAAATTACAATAATTGAGTACTAAAATTAACAAAAAGTTTAATTAATTTGGAATTACTACAGATCATGGCATCGATGTAATGTGTGTAAAGATCAAACAATAAATGAAAGCGAAAGGAGATTCGATGCCACTATCTTTACACTAAAAAGTAAATATAGGAATAAAAACAGGATAAAACCAAATTTATGAAAATATTTAAAATACGATTTAGATTTATAAAATGTAAATACACAAGATAATAACACTGAAAAAATTAAATACATGTTATGAAATTTTAATCTTATCAAAAATTTTCTTGTTTGAAAAGTACCCATTGAAAAATGTTACTTAAATTTTATGTGTCTGTTCTAAAATTAACTAAATTTTTAAATTTATAAATAAATGACATTTCTAAAATTAACCAATCATTTTCATTATCCAAAATAGTAACATTTTCAAAATCAAAATTGTGTTTGTTGTTAAAAGAATGTTAAGAGAACAGTTTTTTCAAAATTAGGATAAATTAACAGGTTTACAATTATTTCAGTAGTCATTAATACGATTTTTTAATTTTTGTTTAGTTTGACCTATATAACTTTTATTATTTTAAAATTGTAATGCTAAAACAAAAGTCTAACAAGTTTGAAGAAAATTTTGTGTGTACCCACTTTATAATAAAAACCACACATTTTTTAAATGTTAAACACGATTTAAATTGATAAAGTTTTGACAAAGATAGTGTTATTTTTAAAAAAACTTTTTAAAAGTTGATTTAATTTTTTAACTGTTCAAAAACATTTTAGTGTCTATGATTTGAATATACAATAAAGTTTTTTAAACTTTATTACAATTTTTATTGACTACAATTAGAAGAAAAAGATCAGATTTAAATTTATTTTATTCTTCGACACTGTCAAAATTTACTGTTTTTCTCCCGTGTAAGGAAGTTTTGACAACTGTTTGGCATTTCTCAATACGAAACGTCAAATTATTTTTAACAGATTTAAAGCAAGTTTAAGCCTTGTTGAGTCTAATTCGAAGAATAAAATGTTGTATTCAACTCGTTTGAGTATAAATCGGACGCTTTATTCCACCTCGTGGATGGTAAACCACTCGTTACACTCGTTTTATCAACTAATTTCAGTAGATAAAGTAGTCTTTTATCGTCTTGTGAAATAAAGTAATTTTTATCTACTGTTTATATTCAAGAAATTCTGGTAGGTGAGTACAAAATAAAACGAAATATTATACACGACGATAAAGATTGTTAATCGTCTTATACACGGAAAAAATGTTTAAAAAATTCTATCCGTCAAAAAATTTTGACATTTATTTTTTGACATTTGACATTTTTTATGTCTATTTAATGATACTGATGACCATGTATATGTTTTTTTTACAATTATTTGGTAACGGTACAAAAATTTTGCCAATAAAAGCCACAAATAACATTGAACATAGTTACAATTTAGGATACAGCTTCCTTGTTTCCTCTTTTAATAGCCTATAGCAAAAAAACTTTGAAAATTATTTTTTCAACAAAAATAAATAGAGTCAAAGTGCAAAATTTAAACCCTGATAACTTCGAAATTTTTATAGATAAAATTTTTTTAACATTTTTTCCATGTTCCTGGGATCTTATCTTATATAGCATTTTTCTCTGGGGCGCAAGTTCTGGCGCATCCTGTATAATAAATAACTATTAGTTTCTCTGTTTTCATACTAGTTTCAGATAGAATTTCAACTTTAAAATCAACACGACTTTCAAATTATTGTTTTGTTTTGAATCTTTGTTCTTCTTAATACGTAGTATTTTATTACTGTTTGCTTTGATCTAATCATTATAAGTGACAAAAAACTTTCACAAAAATATCGTCAAAATGAAGTGTATTATCAAAATTGATCAGGTTTGATAAATAAATATTTATATGAAACTTCAAAATACTTTTTTTCTCACTTCATTTGGAGAAGTTTGACAGATAAGTTTTTTGATAAAGAACATTTAAACACTCATTTATCAATTTATTTTAATTTTCTTGTGACTAGCACCTCTTGTTTAGTAACCATTAAAAAAAAAAACATGTTGACCAAACCCAGAATCGAATCCCAAAATTTAGAGTTTTTGATTTATCATAAACGAACCTTTTCCAAGCTACAACATGGTAATAATTAAAAAAATATTTATTTGAATATTTTACAAGAAAGTAATAATGAATTTGTTCGAATCGCAAGTATAGGTACTTTGCTGGTCATCGTAGGCGTAACTATAGGCATCTGGACATCTGTCTTTGAAAAATCCAGCATAATCAACAGGCCAATCGGAAGATTTGCAAGTATCAGGAGTCGAATGTTCCCCTCGACAGCAGTACAAATCGTCATTGAACACGTTGCAAGCAGCTTGGCAGCTGACCAAAACACCATCTTTGTTGAACAATTTCAATTCCTCGGGACAGTCGTCCAAAATCGGGTATGAACATTCGGATTTCTTGCAACTGTACTCACCGCCGTTCCCATGACCTCCGACAGGTTCCATCTTAACAAAAAATAAAAAATTCAGCAAAACAGGACAAAATTGGATAAAACTCACCGATAGATTAATGTTGAATCCATCAACCAAAGACAAGTCATAGAAAGCATTACCATCCCCGACAGTTATTTCAGCAAGCGAGGCTGGGATGGGGCCAGCAGCCCCACACTCCTGGACACTGTAGCAGTCAACACGGCCCCAAATACGCCCACTCCAGGGCTCATTCAAAGTGAGGGTTTTCTAAATTTTTGTCAGAATTTCGAAATTTTATTCAATACTCACTTCCTCGTTTCCTTGAAGAGTGAAAGGATCAGGATATTCCGTTCCAAGGATTTGAATAAAGACTGGAGTGTCAGGAGAATTATTTTTGATTTGGAACTCAACAGAATGCACTGTTGAAACCAAAGCTAGGACTGTTACGATTTTTCGGAACATTGCGAAATGATTTACTGTCGAAAATTTGAAATGGCATAGTTTTTATAGAAATTTTGAAGTGGATTGATTATTAGCTACCTGCTGATTAGGAGATTACAAAAGTATTATTTCAGGAAATGAGTACTAAAAATACACCAAATGGCAACAAGCTTATTTTTTTTCCAAAGTAACTATCAACAACTTTTTATAAGAGGCACTTATAAATCAGTTCAAGGATGCATGATTTTTGGATGGAAAAATTTAAAATGCGTACTTACTTACTTACTTAGTGTTTTTTATTATTAAAACTTTAAAAATAGAACTTTAACATTAAGCTTTAAAACTAAGCTATGAAAGCTTTTTTACGTATTTATAGTTAAGACTATTTTTTTTAATAAAAAACTCATTAAAAACAAATTAGATGCAGTTGCTTTAACAATAATTTCTTAACAGTAGTTAGTTAGTAACTAAATTTGTTGTACTTATGTATGTATAGTTAGTAAAAAATGCCAAACATTTATTTATTACTCGTAGCATATGAATTAAGAATAAATGTGGGTCAATTAAAAAATAAATAATAAATGATGTGCTTATGAATGTTTTATTTACATTTTTAAAATATATTTTTTCTATTTCTAGGGCCGTAAATTTTGCTTATCATTGTTAGTAAATAAATGTTTCATAAAAACAAATTTTTGCCATTAATATCTCTCGTGTTGTTACTAGGTATTTCATCAGAAAATTCCAGATAAAAGTTCTATCACAAGTGCTCCATTGAGTATAAGAGTACTTAAATATATCTATTTTTAACGACTCTCAATTTATCTTGTCATTAGTAAAAATTATTTTTGTCACCAACCTTTATATTAAATATAATTTTCAGTTTTAAAAATTAAAAAATTGATTAATTAATAAGTATTAATTAGGCTTTCACAACCCTAATCCGACCCTGATAACTTGTAGTATACTTATTCTACAGTAATTCAGAAACCATCACATGTAATTCAGATGAGTAACTTACTGTTTTCTCAAAATGAAGTTTAAAAATAAACACGAATTATTTTATTTTCAAAATTAAAGAATTACATAAACTTGGTATTTTATAAAATAAATAAGATATTTTATTTTCAAAAGGATTTTTAAATGAAAATAACAAATTCTGAATTACAATTGTCGAATTCTCAATTACAAATGACAAATTCTAAATTATAATTAACACTTTCTAAAATACAATTGATTAATCTGAATTACAATTTACGCTTTCTGAAATTAAATTAACTAATCTGAATTACATCTGATTGTTTCTGAAATTCATTTTACTGTTTTGAATTACAATTAGTACTTTCTGAAATACAACTGACTAATCTGAATTACAATTAACGTTTTCTGAAATATATCTTACGCTTTTTGAATCACACTTGAAAAATGTGTAGTACAAGTTATCAGGGCCGGATTAGGGTTGTGAAAGCCTTTACGCTAATCTTAGTAATCTCACATGATACTTAACACTTTTTTTATTACCTTTATTATTTTCACAATTTACATATTCAGCATATCCTAATTAAGTTTTATTTTTAACTAAAAATATAGGTAGATAAGTGAAAAAGAAAAAATATATTTTGAAAAAATATACATATTTTTATTAAAAAGTTACAGTTTAACAAAACACTGAAAAAATTTTTAATGTAGTAACAACAAAATTCAATAATTAAAATAAAAAATTTGCTGCTTACCAGTGTCATCAGCATTTTTTCTTAAGAATTTGAGCATTTTTTGTAAGACTTCTTCTTACCTTTCTTTTTAAACTATTCTTGAAAGGCTCGTTCATTGTAATTTGAATAATTTGTTAAATATTTATTTCCACAGTGGTCGAATATTAATTTTGCGAGTTTTAAATAACAACTACTAATTTTCTTTTTAACATTTGTTCCTCTTTTTACTCGAAATTTATTTTATTTTTATCGTTGATTTTTTTTAATCATAACTCTAAATAAAATAAATTATATTATCTCACTAGTGTAAAGAGAAATAAACATAACGTTGGTAATAGCTCCGCAATTGTCTTCTATCAATTTATACACGTCGTGCCATTTCAATAGTGACACTGGCAACGGCGCAACTGTGCTTTGTGAGATGAATTAAGTCACGAATATTTAAATTATGTGTAAAAGAAGAATCTATGAAACAATTGGACTCTAATGGCCAATGTAAAGCCAAAAAACGCCACTATTTTATATAAAAAACAATATGAAAGGTGACAGAATGGCTATTGAAATGGCACAAGACGTTGCCAATGTGGATATTAAAATGGCAGTGTATTTCATGGATGTGGCAATAGTCAATATTTAAATCTAAATTTTTAGAGTGTTTGAAGCATTATTGAATAAAATAATTTCTAAAAAATAGATATGTACGAGTAATTAAATGCCATTTAAATGTTTAATTAATTTTTAGTTTGAGTTGAAACATGTTTTCTTATTCCCAAATTTCGCTATGTCCTGAAATCTCGACCACACGACAAACATTTTAGGTTAGTAATTTTCAATTTAAAAAACTCGTAATTTCTCTCATGATGTTAAATGTTTTTAGAGTAAACTTGCGAAACTTTATTAAAATGTCGTCAATCGAACGGATTAAACAGAATGCGGATTTAGCAAAGCAAACAATCCAGGAACTAAAAAATGAGGTTAGGTCAGACTTTAAAATTCCTTTTCATCAGATTTGATTGTAGTTAAACTTTCTCAACAACGAATACAACAATATATTAGCTCGAGAACTGCGTGAAGAAAATGCACGATTGCTTGCTGCAGTAGAGGAAGCAAAAGCACATCTTGTGAAACTGGAAGTTAAGAATGGAATTCCTCAAATTCCAGTCCCCAACCAGACTTCACGTCCTATTACAACATCGGTGGAGTCGCAGCCCCCTAAAGAAGAGTCTCAGCCAACACAAAAACCCCAAAAAGAGGCCAAACCCAAAAAAGAGAAGAAACCAAAAGAGGCCCCTCCTGCGGAGCTCCCGGTCGATATCGGGCGTCTTGACCTCCGCATTGCTAAAGTCGAAGACGTGCAGAGACACCCCGACGCTGACTCTCTTTATGTATTAAAAATCAACTGTGGGGAAGACAAACCAAGGACTGTTTGCTCTGGATTGGTCAAACATGTCCCCATTGAGGAGCTACGCAACCGGGTTGTTATGCTTCTTTGCAATCTTAAACCGGTTAAAGTAATTTTGTTATAACTTCTTGTACATTTTTCCAAAAATTTGAATTTTAGATGAGAGGAATCACTTCCGAAGCAATGGTCATGTGTGCTAGCAGTGAACAAGGAGTCGAAGTCTTAATCCCGCCTCCAGGGTGCTCCCCTGGCGAACCGGTCCATTGTGAAGGCTATACCAGACAACCGGACCCTGTAATGAACCCCAAAAAGAAAATTTTTGAAACTGTAGCCCCCGACTTGCACACTGATGCATCTTTGAGGGCTTGCTACAAGGGGGTCCCACTTACCGTGCCTGAAAAAGGGGCTATCGTAGCAAAAAGTCTCGCTAATGTCCCAGTTAAGTAATTTCTTTCTTATTTTATAAGAAACAAAAAACAATAAATGACATCTATACATTTATTTAAGACGGATTAATAATTTACACCTAATAATACAATAAAATAAAATTAGCTCAACAAATCCATGATATCATCTTTCGACAGTGTGTTGTTATTGGGGCTAGTGGCCCCCATACTCGGATTCGGGATTAAAGGTTGTCTCTGCCCCATTTGATTCATTGGAATTTTATTGGGGGTGTTACCGGTCGGGAGTAGATTATCCAAAACTCCCCAATTCGGCTGACTCGACTTTGGACCGCCCCACGAATTTGGTAAATTTTGACTAAACTGTTGCTGCGGAGACGCCCACATATTTCCCCCTCCATTTGTCACAGGACTAGTAACCCCGCCTATGCCACTCCCCACTCTACTCCCCATATTGGCATTTGACCAATCAGCGAGCAACGACGAAGTCAAATCCTTGGGAGGCGTGGTCACAGTTTTGACAGGTTTAACCGGTTCCAAAGCCGGCTGATTTTGGAACGCTTTAAAAGTTTCCCGTTGCTCAACAACCTTTTGTTTTTCTTGCAAATTCATGGAAACAAAAGAATCCAAACCCAAACCAGAGAACGCATGATCGAGTTCGACCGGTTTGTTGGCTGGTTGGAATGTGGGCATTGTTGCTGTCAAAACTTTTTGCTCGTCTTTGACAGAATTCAACTGTTCTAATTTAGTCCGATGTTCACTTTCGACCAATTGAAACATTTCTTTGACTAGAGCTACCAAAGCGTTAAACTGAGTTAAAGTAAGGCCATTTTCGATACACAAAGGCATAAGAAATGGTAGAATTCGTGTTGCTATAACTTCCTTGCTTATGCCCAATTTTTTATGGTTCATTGCGAGCTTGTAAATCCCTAAAATCCCCATCAGGACTGCGGGCTCACGCGACGGGATTTGAGGGAGAAATGGGAGGATTTCGTCAAGGACCAACCACTTGTCCAAATGTTCCAAAAGTCGGCCCACACATAACAAACAATTGACTCGCACGGAGAGACTCGAAGTGGACAAACAGAGTCGTTTTATCCTGGGCAAAAGACTATTTTTCACACTGGAATGGTCCAAAAGGTTAGCAAAAGTGGGGAGAATCGAGAGACATAATTCATGGACTTGGGGGATGTCGGAGTCAAGGCCTCGGTACAACATTGGAAGGACGTGTTGTTGCACATCTTCCGGTGGAGTCAATTTTAGCAACAACTCCATTCTTTGTAACATAATTAGCAAAATCTAGAGGGGGGGGGGGGTCAAAAACTAGTTACTTCCCCTTCAGCCGCCATTTAACTCACCTGAATTGGGTCCATTAGTTTCATGACAGGTTTGAGGTAGGGGAGGACGTACAAACAGTACTCCTCCTTAGTACAGTCCTGGGCTATATCCAAAACACTGGGTAAAATAAACGGGACCATAGCAGGCTGTGCTAAGTCACGTGACAGACATGTCAACACTCGTTGAACTTTGACCCTTTGAGGCAACTTCGGGAGTGCCTCTGGCAACCCTTTATAAAACTGAGACTTTTGCAAATTGTCCCACTGGAGTAGCGAATCCAAGTAAGTCAGGGTTTTAATACCAACATCGTCAAAATAAGGTATCTAAAAAAAAATACCAAATACCAAATTCCCCCAAAACTCTAGTCAAAATACTTTGATAAATTGATGCGCATCAGGCCTAATATCCGGTGTAACATTTAGTAACAACTTGACATACTCTCGTAACGCCTCTGGAATGCATTGAAGCTTCCCCGAATTCAAATTTTTTAATTGTTGGGCTCTCGCCCTGAACTGTTGCAAGTCTCTTACGGGGACTAAAGACTGATTTCCGGTCGAGTTCAAAACGTAGGCCAAAACCCCGACTGCGAACATATCACTCGCGGGGGAATTCACCTGATTTAGGACACACTCGGGTGCCAGATATTCGAGATTGCTCTGACAAATTTCCGGTAAAGTCGGCGAAAAACCATCACAAGGGTACGCCGGCGGCAAATTCGCCGGATTCGTGTTATGCACACAAAAATCAAACCCGAAGATTTTCCAAACTCCCTGTTTATTAATTAAAATGCTCTCAGGCGTGATATTTTTATGCAACAACTTGACATCATTGTGTAAAAACGCCAGACCTTCACTGATCTGCAATAGCCCGTACTTAATTTCAATATCGTACAATTTATAATCAGACATATTCGCAGGTTGGGGCATGTTTGTGGTTTTTCCTAAAACGTTAGCCAAACTTGCGAAAACCGATTCGGTTGCAAACGCGAGACTTTCACGACTTTCTTCTAACGGGTGTTGCACTGTTAGGACTTGAGGGTGCCGGATTTTGGTGAGTTGAGTGACCCCCCGTTTGAGGCTTTCTAAAATAATCTCGCGATCGGATTTGTTCCATTTTTCCAATTGTCGTTTCTCGAAAACAAAAATTGAAGCCTCCTGTTTGGTGGAACGTTTGCAACCTTTGTAGATCTTCCACACCAGGCCTGGAATTTGTCTATTAAGGGGTGACAAAATTGGTTTGTGGGGGTACCTGGACCAGCGGAGGCAATGTGGGTGGAGGCGTCGAATTCACGCGTTACTGGGTTCCCCGGAAGCACGCCCGATAATTGCGATACGGTACTGCTAACAGAACTGCTCACTTGCGAATATAATTTATTAAAAACTTCCATTTTACTAATAAAACAATAAATCAAAAAAACATTGATTTATGACAGATGTCAAAGTGACATTTGACGGGCATGCGTACCAACAATAAACTGTGATATAACCACGACATAACCTTAAAAAGTTTTTAATTAATCATATCATTGCGCAATTTTTGAAATAACAACAAAGAAAAATAGACGAGATGTCCGAATACGACCAAGTTCGGGTCGGCAAACTCGTCTTAAAAGGCGAAAAACACAAGTAAGTCGATAAAATTACTTGACGTTTGTTCTAACCTTACTTCAGGTCAAAAAAACGCAAACATAAACGTAAACACGAAGACTCTGCTCCAAAAGTGGACTCTGACCGCTTGACTCACGGCAATTGGTGGAAAGTGACTAAAATTGAAGACATCACAGGCCCCGTGGCTATAGAATTTGGCAAGCACACCTATGTTAAGGCCCTTGATAACGGTTTATTTACACTGGGAGCCCCTCATGATGAAGGCGAAGGCCCCTCACCCGAGGAAGTCCTAACCGCAGTACTAATCGACGAACGCAAAGTCGCATTCAAGTCAGGTTATGGCAAGTATTTGAGAGTGGAGAAAAATGGGGTTGTTACAGGCAGATCAGACGCTATCGGGGCCATGGAGCAGTGGGAGCCGGTCTTTCAGGTCGGTGTTTGGATTTTGTGAGAAATTTTTACAATTTGAGGGGTTGCAGGAGGGTAAATTGGCGCTCCAAAGTTATTCTGATTGTTTCATGAGTATAAATGATGAAGATGATGCTGTGGTGGCTGTTGATAAGAAGGCGGGGCCCGAGCATATGGTACAGGTGAGATCCCAGACTGTCAAAGATGTGAATCCTCTCAAGGATGTACCGGCGGAAGAGCAGGGGGATCTCCAACAAGTTGAAATTAATTACGTGTAAGTTTGTGTTGTTATTGACTAGAAATAAATTGTGTTTTTTAGTAAAAAATTCCAAAAGTTCCAAGACAAGCGTTTGCGTATTTGCAAGGAAGACTCCTCACAGTTGAAGAAAGCAAAAGAAGAAGGGACGTTCCATGAGGCTCTACTGGACAGAAGGAGCAAAATGAAAGCAGACAGATATTGTAAATGAATCAATTTTCTAATGGAATTTATTGATATTTCCTAATTTACGATGTAATTTTATTTTACAACAAAAACATACAAAATTATCGATTTTTCATTTCAATTAAACCTGAACAATAATACCAAAAACTTACACTTAACAAAATAAATTAACTAAGTCAGTTCTGAGTTACAATGTTATAGACAGATTTCTAAACGTATGAATTTTATTACACAATTTTATTATCATTACATTGCATTTAAATTTTTGACTGGAAGTCGTGTAAAACAAAAAAATTGATTATATAAATTACATTGCACTTCCAGTAAAACGGTCAATTGGGTATAATCATGATTCTGTAACAAAATAATTTACAGTGTGTTTAAAAAAAAAACTTAAGTGACTATATCTCAACTTATGGCGGCTTTAGCTCTCGATGCTTTCAACCATTCTACAAATTCGTCTAACATAACCGGCCCTGAAATGTTGTTTATTTAGAGAAAAGTTGAATTAAAAGATCGATTTTTCTTACAAGCACCATCCACGTCATAATTGGATAGGTCATTGTAGATGGTCCGTGAAAATTCGAGGATATTACACCACTGGTCCTTATTTATAACTTTGTACTTTGACTGATCAAGGAACTGACTGAACTGCGTGTAAAGGGCCCAATGTTTTCCCAGCAAAAGTTGGAGCATCGCTTTCGCAGTCTCCATATCCATGCTCCTTTGATCCTTATCCTGCAAAACCGATGAGAAACTCGTAAAATAAAGCCCCCAACTACGGATACATAAAGACTAGGATACGACACGATGGGAAACAAACGTCCCCGTGAGGGTCAGATAGCGCAGTTGTTCCTTTCCCGTTTAAGTTTTAAGAGCAATGAAATTAAAAAGACTGTATTTACATAACGGTGAGCAAAACGCTAATAAAAAAATATATAGACCGATAAAGCATTAAATTCTCGATAATAAGAGATAAAGGTAATGCAAAAAGATTATTGAAAACTATATTTTAAAAAAAATCAAACATTTAGTAATATTTTTAAAAATGCTGCGAATACGGTGTAAGGTACAAGAAAAATATAAAAAAGAAAGTTGTAGAAAATAAAATTTTCAAGAAAAAAGTCCGCGAGAGATATCTCTATCTTCAATGGTTTAGGTCCTAAAGACGTTCAACGACACTCAAGTGACGAATAAATGTCATTCTTATCGGTGATTAAGAGACAAAAAATTAATTTAAACCTAAACGGTTAAAGATTGTCATATGGTCTCGCGTACTTTTTTGTAGAAAATTTAATTCTCTACAACTTTGTTCCCTATATTTTTTTGTATCTTCAATCGTATTCGCAGCGTTCTCAAAAATATCGAAAACAGTATTAAAAGTAATTTATAAACAATTATCAGTTTGTGTTCCGCCCAATATTTTTGAGAACTCTGTGAATACGGTTAAAGATACAAAAAAAGTGTAAGAAACAAAATTGTAGAGTATAAAATTTGCTACAAAAAAGTCCGCGACGCGAGACCATATTTCTATCTTCATCGGTTTAGGGTTAAATTTCTTTCAAGTGTTCCTCTGGCACTGAATCACCAGTAAAAATGAAACGAATTCGTCGCTTGAGCGGCTTTGAACATCTTTGAGGCCTAAACCATTAAAGATAGAAGTATGGTCTTGCGGACTTTTTACTAGAAAATTTTATTCTCTACAACTTTCTTTCTTACATTTTTCTTGTATCTTCAACCGTATTCGCAGCATTTTGAAAAATATAAAACGGAGCACAGATTTTAAATTTTAAATATTTTTTTTCTCATATTTCTCGTGAAAAATTTAGTCGTTCGTTTTTTACAGCTTGTTAAGAATGTAAAGCTCGACATTTTTACATTTTTACCTAGCAATTGGTAAACTAATTGAATTTAAATTAATTTAAAACGATTTGAAACTGAGACGGTAAAACGCTCTAAGCGCCCTTATTTTTGCAACTTTTTTTTTGGGTCCAAAAAATCGAGAAATTTCGTCTCTTGGTATGTAGTTCTCCGTACCCCCAACTTACCCTAGCAAAGTCATATGCGTATCGATAGATGGCTTTAAAAACATTTTGATCGTTTAAAAGACAACGTAAATAGTCCAGTCTGTACTGCAGCTTCTGTATCGAGTCGCACTGCATCTCCCCCAGCCCCCTGAGCCACTCCTCCTTCGTGAAAAACCCCATCTGTCTTGCTTGCATTTTAAACGCTAAAACTAACATCACGACGTTCTCTGGTTCCACTCCGATGTCTTCGCAGAATTTCTCCATTCCTTCTGGTCCTAACGTATCGGGATCGTCCGGCGTCGTGTACTCTCTAAACCATGCCAGACATCGCTTCTGACTAAACGACTGGGCCTCCTCAACACGAGAAACTCGCCGAGAGCTGAAACCAACCAAGAGACACCATTAATTCCTGAAAACGGACGAAACTCACTCTGCATCGTCCATACAGCTGTCACCAGTGGCTCACAAGTATCAATGAATGCCAGCTTTAAAAATAATGTCAGCGGGTTAAATAGTTAAAAATAGTCTCACGGTCGGGCTGCCGAAATTCAAATCGAAAATAAACCGCGCTTGCGCACCGCTTTGACACTTGCTTGACAGTCTGGCAGCCCCACATGGGGGCCAATGCCACGCTGGCGCGCGTGGGGTTAACGTGCCGGTTTAAGGGGGTTGTTTTTACCTGGAGTTTCGAAGCCTTTTAGACGCATATCTGTCATCTTCATTGGAACTCATTTCTGTCGTCGATCTACGTTTACTACGTGGCATTGCAAATTAAAGGTCCTAAATCTAGCGATGATCTCGCCTGAAACGTGAAAATTCAGTATTTGCGTTACATATAGAAAGTTAGGTTATGTCGGTTGATTGATCAATTTTCCGTTGAAAACTAGTCAAAACTGTTTGGAAGCAGGTCGAACCCAAAACAAGCGATAAAAGTACAGAGTGATAAACAAATAATGGATTAATTTGAATTAATTACCCCTCCCTTGTGAGTGGCTGTTAATTTTTACCCCGTGCCGAAACCACGAATCCAACTTACACTTGGGTTTATTTAACGACGAGTGTAATGTGATTTACGTGTTGACTTTTATAATTTCATGTAGATTTAGTGTGATTAAAATTAATTCGAAACTCGGATGATCTCTGCATCAGCTGTAGCATATTTTTAACCTTGAAAGTTCAGGGTTTTTCGCGATGGTCAAGGTTGGCTAACATGAATTAACTGAATAGCAATATTTAACTGTTTACCACAGAACCGGACAAAAAAACGTAAATTTTCATGCTAATAGTAGGTCACAATTAAATAATAGTGTCAGATAATCCCATTATCACCCGAAAATACACAAATTTTGCACCAATAAGAAACGTCAAACACTACCAATGTTGCAAGAGAAAGTCCCCAAGTACCCCCACGAAATCACCAAACATGTGACCAGAATTATTTATTGTTATCATTTCCAACGTCTGGTAAACATTTTCAAAATAACATTCAATAAAAAATTCTGGTAAAGTGCTTGAATTGTGAACATTGGAGTAATTCATCAGTGATGCTAAAAACGTCAGGTAATTACCCCGACAATCTACCAGTAAAATTTGCGTTCAAAGTGCAACTTTGTGATTATCTTACATAAACATACTATGACACGAAACTGAGAAAAACCTTTTTATCTCCTCAGTTTTACAATCAAACTCTTCTTTCAATCAATAAATGAGACCACAAAAATGGGAACAACTCTGTCATAAATTAATCATTGTTACACCCCCTTACTGTCTGCTCTTTCACACATCAGTAAAATTGAATCATTTATTTCGTTTCTGATTGTTGCAATTAAATAACAATGAATATTGACGTTTTACAATGTCAACACTGGATTTCCTCCTTTCAAAAATAGAGGGAAAAGTATGTGTGAGGTCACGTAATTTGCTAAAAACTGGTTCAAAATTACGCCCATTAATGGAATTTACTCGTTTCGAAATACTTAATTATATTAAGGCAATCAGTGAATTATCGAAATTGTAAACAATAATAAAACACTGGTTTTGGTGCATTGGTTTAAATTGGTGTCACTAGAGGGCGCGCACTTGTTTTTTTTCCATTCAAAAAGCCCGCGAATGTCGTACATTTGAAAAATAATAACCTTTCATGTACAAGAGGAGCTTTTGCCTCATAAAAAGCAAACAATTTTTAAATTATGACAATAATAAGTAGGAAAAATTTGTATAAAACAAATGGAACTTTTTAGAAAATCGGCAAATAATTGATATACAAACTAAAAGGTGTCTATTAAAATTTGGCGGTGATATGAGTGTGTTGTGAACGAACCACAATTTTTAAAACGCCCGGCGAACTGTCAAATATCAGATTAATAACTTTCAATTCGATGGTTCGTTCACAATTAAACTTTCATGTATAGCTTTGACGCCAAATTAAAAAAAAAAATCCGTTTCATTTTTGTAATAAGAATTCAACTAAGAAGTATTTTTACGTCAGAGGACATGATTTTGCAAGGAGCTGCACTTATACTGATATTATTAAAAAACAAATGAGATAACTGCGACACATACTACGTATTTGTAAAGGTTTAATTGCTTTCAGTAATTATTATTAAAAAGATAACATTATCAGAGTAAAAAGTTCGCTAGTATTATGTATGTAGAAAATGAATCACAGTTTGATAATAATTATAGAATTTTTTACGTTCTGTTTTTCACATTTCTCTCACTTTTAACATTATTCATTCAATTATTCTTCAAAAGTTGCAGTGTCGATAACCTTTTTACCTCTCTAATTCCAGCAATGTCATCCCCACGAAACCCCAAACACCAAGAGGGTGTCATCAAAAGCCTTCGAGACCTTTTTGGAAACATTTTTCACGTCGACATCATCCGTTCCGTCGCACACCAATGCAATTTCGACAGTAAGTACCAACCAAAAATAAACAAAAACCTAACTTTGGCCAGTCGTAAGATCGTCCGACATCCTCATCGAAATGTCCAACAACATAGTCGACCAACCGGCGAAGAAAAAACCCAAACCGAAAAAATCACCCACACACACGCCAAAAAAATCCGAACCTACTAGAGTGATCAAATCGAAAAAATCGCAAGAATTGGAACGCGTGGTCAATAATATAAGACAAGGGTACAAGGTTTTAGTGATTTTGAGAGGGTTGCCGGGGAGTGGGAAATCACATCTAGGGGTTGTTATCACTGATGTGACTCTCGGCCCGGGGAATAACAGTCAGCATATATTAAGCACTGATGATTATTTTATACAGAACCGAAAGTATGTTTTCGATCCGAGTAGGCTACAGGAAGCCCACGAGTGGAACCATCGTAGGGCTTTTCAAGCTATGAGTCGGGGGCTAAGTCCTGTTATTGTGGATAATACAAATACACAAATGTGGGAAATGAAGCCCTATGCCATGATGGCGACGGATTACGGCTACATGATTGAGATTCTTGAACCTGACACTTGGTGGTGCTTTAATGACAAAGAGTTGGCCCGGAGGAACACTCACGGGGTTCCCCGAGCCAAAATCAAGGACATGTTAGATAGATATGAGAGAAATGTGACCACACAAAAATTACTATGCGCTTATAGTCTGACTTATAAGTTCCAAAAGCCCCCTCAATTCCGACTAATCCCTCCCATTATGCGCCAAAATGGCTACACGGTACCAAGAATTCAAAATGGCGTCACTAAGTCACGAAGTACGCCGATTTTCGATCGGCAAAATTCGATCGAAAATGGCGTCGAAGCCATTAATTTGATGGATTTTAATGACGTTTCCCATGAAACCAATCAAAATAATGCAATACACACGTGGGACCTCAATCCTATCGATGCCATTCTTATGTGTACTGAAGAAAACCAAACCGATGTTTTACAACCTAAACCTGCCACTAGTGCCAACCAAGAGAATTTATTCCCCGACATTGAAAATGCCTGGGGTATTGACGAAAAAGCCCTACACTCGTGGGACATTGTCACTCCGATTCCCGAAGTTGGCAACACTGTGGATACACCAAGCGATCAACAAGCACCAAAACCGGAAACACGTGACGTTTGTACTAGTTTAGAACCAAATGATTGGCTGAATGACAGTTACAAAATGGTGACGGCACAAAATCGGGATATTAGTGTTGGTACCCCTGTCAGGGTTTTACCTCCACCGAAAAAAACCATGCTGGATCAGAGTTGCATGACTGATGATATACCAGAAGAGATAACAAATGAAGAAGTCCGGATTAAGGACTTGATGGATTTATTTCCAAGAGTACCAAAGTCCTCACTTCGGGAACTTTTCAATAAATGTAATAAGAATTTCCATTGGACTGTTGATCTTCTCCTCGAAGATAATAATCTTGAAGGGGTTGAAACAAATGAAGATGATGAAGATGAAACTCCGAGTGTGTCAAATCCAGAGGTACCATCAGTCGAAACTGAAGAACCCGAAACGTCAAAAGTGAAACTTTTCAAACGCAAAACCATATCTGGGGATTCCCTAGAGCTAAAAAAGTGTCTTGAGAGCAAATTTGATATAAACCGTGAGTTTTATTCGGATCATGTCTACAAAGTGAAACAGTTTAAATTCGGGCCACATGAGTCTCAACCGTCCACTTCTGCTGTTCCTGATTCAGATTCGGATTCCGAATCGGATGATTCAACTCAGGATGATCCGAAAAATATGATCGAATTGAATTTGGGCGAGACGTTCGTCAACCAATTGGAGACGCTGTTTGGTGGTGACGATGGTGCGTTTCCAAAGGGGTACCAACCTGTGGTCCAAATGCCCCTAAATCTAGCCCGACAAATTTATTGTTTCTATATCGAGTCGTTATGCCAGCAAATGGATGCCCAAACCCATATTTTGGAACGTCTGGTTAAAGAAGATGAAGAGTTGGCTCGAAAGCTTCAAAATCAGGAAGAAAGTCAAGTGGTACCACCGCGGGAACCCAATTTTATGGAGATTATGGACGAGCAAGTGGCGATGAGTATTCATAGACGAAGCGTAGAGGAGTGGAAAAATATGACAGCGGATAATTTAGCTGCGAAATTGACCAAACAGAAGTTGTTTGCTGCGTTTCCGAATATCGACCAAAATGCCTTACTAGAAATATGGCACGCGTATGACTATGACTACAATAAAACAGTTGAGGATTTGATTGCAAATGTCGGAGGGTCTCTAGACGAGAAGATTAAAGAACCACCGATAAGTACAACGACATTAGAAGAAATGAAGCAAGCTGAAGAGAATTTCGTCAATTTTGAACAAGATGAAGAGCAACACCCTGCGACTTATTACAGAGACGAAGCCAATAAACATTTGAAAAGACGCGTCGAATTATACGAAAAAGCTAAATCGTACTTCCAAAGAGGCATGTTCGAAGTTGCAACTTTCTACTCCGAGTTGGCCAAGAAAGAAACAAAATTGTACGATAAAGCCAATCACATCGCAGCTGCAGCTTTCATCGAGGAGCATTCAAAAAGATTGCAAAAGTTTGATACTCTCGATTTGCACTATTTCTACGTCAAGGAGGCCATCCCCAACTTAGATATTTTCATTGACAGGAATATAAATCTGCTGCAAGGGGGGTCCAAAAAAGGCATCGACTTGTTTGTTATCACAGGAAGGGGAAAAAACAGTGAAGGGGGTCGTTGTAAAATCAAACCTGCGGTTATTAACAGGTTGAAGAAGCGGAGTATTGGGTATGTTTAGGGGAATTTTGTTTTGTTAGGTTTCATGAATTTGTTTCAGGTTTGTTCAAATGAATCCAGGACTTTTGAAAATACGAGTTTTGCGGAATTCACTAGTGACGAGTGATTTGCCATAATTTAGTTATTTTGTTTAGTGATAAATTTAAGTTGGTTGCAATGTAACCAGGAAAATAACCCGGTTCAAGGGTTTGAGAGTACAAATTGTTTTATTGTTGAATAGGGATTTTTATTTGTTCAAGCGTTGGTACCGCTGATTTAAACGTTATTAATTTTGTCCAGGAAGCAATGCAATAAATTTGTATTCGTCAGCATTGTAACTAATTTTATTCTATATTTTTATTGTTTTTCTGACTACAAATATTATTAGAGTATAGCATTTAGCATTATTATTGTTAATAAAAGCACATCATTTTTATATACAATTTCAAAAAAATATATTTTACTAATTAACCGCTGACTTATTGCTTCCACAAAAAAGGCCAACACAATACGCAAAATCTTCCACTTTTACCTGAAATTCTTTTTGTTGGCGCTCCCATAGACCTGTTATTATGGATGACTCATTCGCAGGTGTTCAAGTCGCTTCTCCCCTACACTTTTTCAAAAATGCTATCTTCGTCTCGCGGCCAATCAGATTCAATGCCACAAGCTGTCAAGTCACGTGATTTGCGTCTTTTTTTCTGGTTGTTGATGTTACAGCGAAGCAGACGGCGGGATGAAGTGATCCAGAACCGGAAGTCGGAAAATGTGAGAAAACACCAAAACAAAAGCAATTTAGTTCCAGGTATTTGATTGTTTGTTGTTCTTATCTGTCATCAAGTAGGCTATGAATGACAGGACGTTAAGTCATGGATTGTTTGATTGTTTTGGAAGTGAGGTTATGCGATTAACGGGTGTTTATTTTGAGTTTTTTGCGAAATTTGGACGTTTTGTTTACGTTTGATTGCTTTCGGATGCTTGTTGTAATTTAATTAATTGTGGTGCAATAACCATTGACCTTGAAAGAAAATATGAAAGAGTGCCGAAAATCCATTGATTTAACAATTCGGAGATTACGATTATGCAACAAATGTTGGTGGCGCTGCACTCTAGATCCCGCGATGGGTGAATCATTGCTTACGTTTGATAAAAGTTACTTAATATTCAAGGCTGGATTTATTTAGTAATGATAACTTTAGTTTTAGTTTATTTCCGCCGATTTGATACAATTACGTGAACATGATTGAAGAAGAACAAGAAACACTTTCGGATCTTGTAAACCAAGAAGAATACAACGAAATGATGAAAAACGTCATGGGAATGTAAGTATTTTTCTGGAGTGTTTGAATTAGAATATAGTTTTTTTTCTTGTCAAGGGATTCGTTGGATATGATAAACGAAACCGGTGGCATGATGTGAGTATTTTTTGTTTAAGAACTGATTTATTTTAATTAAAAAATTGTTCAGGGATCCAATGAACATGATGAATGCCGACGAAACTACTCTTAGTGTAAGTATACAGTGTGAAGTTTACAGATGTGCGTAAGGTGTTGTATGCTTAATGCAAAAACGCATTCATCATGATTCGCACTGCATATTCGAAAAGATCTTGTTTTTTATTCACGAAAAATTAGAATATTTATTAAACAAGGCCATAATTCAATATGTTCAATGTGCTGAATTTCCATGCAAAATAAAAAATGCCGCTTTAAAAAATATTGAATCTAATAAACCTCAAATGTTAATTACTTATGTCAATTGACAGGTGTCACTGTTGACAGAACTATCTAATTCAAAAAGAGTAGAAAAATGTACATGTAAATAAATTTTATAGGCGACTAAATGAAAATCATTTTAAAACACGCTATAGAAATATTATATGTATGAAAAAAATATTAAATATTAAATTTTGATAGTTTGTATTACTTTTTTTATGGATGCATTGGATTTAAGGAAATGCCATTTTTGACTCTTGAAGGTTAAATACCAACATAAAATATTTTTTTTTTTTTAATAATAAAGAGTTAATTTCTAATAGTATTAATTGTCGATTAACGAACGAGTTTTCCGTTGATCGCATTTTACGAATCTGTAAACACATTGAGTTTTTTGACTCTGTTGTTTAAAGACAGTATTGCCATTTGTAGAGTCAATTATGTTACAAAACTAAAGTTACGCATATAACTCTTCTGTTGTGAATAAATTAACAAAAAATAAAAACCAGTAAACCATACCAATCATTTTCAGTTTTCGGAATCTTTGCAATTTGAGCTTCACAGTAAAACCACTATTGACTATTAATGTTTGTAACAAAAATTCTATTGGCAACACTGAATTATTGGTAATCCTTCTAATTTGTTATATCAGAATGTTTCAGGTGACTGCTAAATCAATAGTCGCCCGTCGCAAATGAATGACAATTGCCTATAAAAGTTTGACGTTTGAAATTGAAAGTCAAGATTGACAAACTAAAATTTAAATTTTTTTTACCACCTTATGGTAAAAAATCGCAACCAAACTCATCAAAAAATTAATAAATTTAGTTTTACTATAAATGAACCTAAAACTAATTATTGCCAAAGCGTATAAGCGTATTCATTGACAATTTTTATGAATTTTTAAAATCTAGTAAATTGGCAAAATTTATGACACCAATAAAGAATAATATTTTTTTAACAGTCTTCCAGCCAATCAATGCTTTCCAAAATGCACTGTTTAACTTTGCTTCTATAATGGTCTCACTGAAGTTTACTTCTCGTTTTTCTAATTTTTTGGGTTTTTGTTTTGTCACCCTTTTCAGACCTACAAGACTACCATTAACTAGAGGGTAGATATAATTTTTTTATTTTAATGTACATCAAAGAAGTTGTAGAAGCCTAAGTACATCTTTAATTTAAAGGCGGATTCACATAAAAAGTGACAAAAATCTTTAAGTTTGCTACCCTATTTTAATTACCTTGTTAATTTTAATTATTTTTTGCTTCCTGGGGTACACATTTATTAAAAGAAAATAGTTTTTAGGTAAGATTGAGGTTAAGATTGTTTTAATTTTAATGTTTTTTTTCTTTTACGGTAGAGGTTTTTATACCTATTAACCTACACGTTTAGGTCATTGGTTCCTATGACTCATTCAAAACAAATGAAATCATCTATCTATCTGTTCAATAACTGTATTTTTCCTTTGTGAGTTGTTCTCACATTATTTCATAAATTTTAGTTAGATACTCGTACTCTTATTTTTTATTCAATTCACATCACATGAGACACTTATTGCCTTGACATTTGAAAAGCATATACATGGATGTTACTTAATATTACCCAACATTATCATTTGATTAAAATCGACTACGAATATGACGTATTTTTTGAATGCATTTAATATAATGGATATCAGTGATTCAGCTGCACTCTAAACAAGTTTGAACCTGCATCAAAATAATAGCATCACGTTCTATAAACCCCAACAGATCACTACTAGTCTCACATTCGCTCACTAACTGTGGCTGTGTTAATAAAGTATTAAAGAGATTAATATATTTTTGATAGTTAATATATTTGTTATTTATTTATTTCTTTTGTAGATAAATAAAAATGGTTATTACACAACCGGTAAGTAACAAAATATAAGCCAACTTGTCTATATCTCACCTTTTAATAATAAATACTGTTTTTTTTTTTTCAGTTGGAAGACTTCAAATACAATATCCACCAAAACTTATACCTCACAGCCCCCATTTTTCCTCCCAACGAGCCGCAAGAACTCTGCAACACCGAATACCCCGGCCCTTTGAACTTCGAAGTGTTCGTCGATCCCAACGTCTTGAAAAATCCCTGGGAATACTCCCCGATTCTGAACAAAATCTACATCGACATGAAGCACAAATTCCCGATTAATTTCAGCGTGAAAAAAACCGACGCTGAGCGTAAACTCTTCGTCAGAGTCATGCCGATGTTCGAGGAGGACAGATATGTGCAAGAATTGGTCCACAGATGCATCTGTCACGAGCAACTCACCGACCCCACCAACCATGGCGTTTCTGAACTGGTAGCACAACACATCATCAGATGTGACAACCAGAAAGCGCAATATTTTGGGGATAAAAACGCAGGGAAAAGACTGAGCATTGTCATTCCATTGGGGGCCCCCCAGGTGGGGACTGACAGCGTCAAGGAGTTCTTCCATTTCGTCTGCAAAAACTCCTGCGTCGGGGGCATGAACCGAAGGCCGATTCAAGTCATTTTCATGCTGGAAAACGAGTGGTAATGCGATTTTTTTCATACCAATCAAGTGGTCTGTGACTTGAAATTAGGTTGGCAACATTGAAATAAATGACATTGTCAACTCTCACAGGGAACTTTGAAGGTTTTCTAACGCCACACTTTATCTTGTTTTTGCCAACAGATGGCGCTAATTTGTGTTTTTTTTTTCAGTGGTAGTGTTCTGGGTCGCCGCGTCCTGTGCGTCCGCATCTGCTCTTGCCCGAAACGCGATCGTGAAAAAGAAGAAAAAAAGAATGAACCTCATCATTCGAGTAAAAAAAGAAAAATCGAGAAGAAACCTACACCGTCGCCTGAAACAACTGATACTCGGGTTTTTTCTCTCAGTGTATGTTTTTTTTATTAAATGTTTGGTTTTTGTTATGTTTTGGTGGTTTTGACAGGTCGTCGGTGAGGAGAATTACAAAATGCTGTTGAAAGTTTGTAAATCATTGATGTCAGAAGAAATTGTGAAGTTGGAGGAGAAGAATGGCAACGCTGCCCCATTTAAAAAATGCCGCAATGATGCAATTAATATTTTGCAACAACTGAATGAGTGATTTGATGAAATTGTTTGTTACAATTTTTTTATTTTTTCATGTGTTATCTGAACAGGGTGACTCCAGAAATTTTCAGAGATGATAGTAGAAAACAAAAATTGCGAAAATATCAACTTTCTTTATCCGAATGTTTATAGTTTTTGAGGTCTAGTCGCCGAATTTAGCCTTAAATTTTATTAACAAAATTGTGATTTTTTACATTAGCTTTTCAAAATTTAGACATTGTTTTAAAAAATTTAGCAAAAATTAGTAAAAAGAACCACAACAAAATTGACTTTGAACCTGTACTATCACCTTTTTAAATTTTTGCACAACTATTAAAATCACATTCTATTGTGAAAAATGTGCCTGACTTTGATTTTAATTTTATCCACAAAATCGTGGATTTTTTGTGCTTTAGGTTTTAATACCGAGACTGTAAGTGATTTTGATTTTTCACAAAAGACAAATTCAATGTCTTCACTGGTCACAATCATTTACTGTCATCTCTACTTAGTTTTATTGTTCGTTTTGGAATTTGTTTACATTCCAAAATATTTGTTTCCAGTTAGCTTAGTTTTATATTCTCTCAGAGATCTACTTTTTTTGCAATTACGCATTCCTGTTGCAATTTAGTGAAGTAGGATTTTATTGTGATCTAGTAGGTTGAGTAACTTTTAAACCTGCAAGAGTTTTTTTTATATTATTAAATATGCCGGCCATATTGTATCACAATTGCTGTCATTTTTAGTAATTATCTTATTATTATAGTTTATTGAACTTTTTTTACTATATTTTTATAATATTCATGATAATATACATACTTTACATTTTACCAACCTATTTTTTCCTCCCCATATTCTGACGTTTTAGTCACGTGTTCCGTTTAAATGTTTAAAATGACATTTGCAGTTGCGTAACTAACGGCAAGCTAACCTAACATTTTGTGTTTCTGTATGCCTGCTAGATTTATGAAATTTTTGTTTTAAATTGTTTAAAAAGGGGCTCATCATGAGTCAACAAAGCCAATTCTCTGACATTATTCCTGATGTTGAAAAATTTATGGAAGATCATGGACTTAAGGACGATGTGTAAGAATTGTTTTCATCCCTTAAACTTACATAGTTATGTATTTATCTTCTTTTAGGGGACGAATAATGCACGAAAATAACGTTCACTTGGTAAATGACGACGGGGTAAGTGTCTAAATTTTAATTACAACCTTATGAAACATTTTCTCACCTAGGTTAAGTCACTTTTTTTTAATTAACTTATTGTTCAAAATTGTATGGATTACTAATTATAATACAGTGGCGGACACGGAATTTTGGACTTCAAATTTATGTCAGTTCAAAAAATGACAATGTTAGCCTCGCTTTATTGACATTGACGTTTGAAATTAAAATTTGAAAGTTTTAGTCGATTTTATTTTTGGCGTCGATATTTCGAAACAGTAATGCCAACAATACGTGTTTTTATATAAGTTCAATAAATTATTTTGATTTATTGTAATTTTTTCTCTAGCTATCAGGATTAAAATTACAAAAACCGAAAGTGAGGTTAGTTGCCTAAGGCCCGTTTTACATTTTGATGTCAGTCGAATGACAAATCGTCCAAAATTCCGTGTCCGCAGTTGTATTAGTGTTTGTGACAAAAAATCGATGCTTGGTTATGAAAAAAAAAAAAAAAATAGGTTCTGGATTTGCAAAACAAAATTAAATTAATTAGCAACGTCGCAACTGCGTTTTTTGAGGTGAAATAGGTCAAAAACATTTATGTGTAAAAAGAGAATCTGTGTTACAACTGAACCCTACTGACAAATTTTAACTCAAAAAGCTCCACTTTTTTATCCGAAAAGACATTGTGAAAAGCGCCAGAAGTGTGTACTTACTATACTCGAACTTAGTCAAAAATCTCAAAATATTGTACTGAAAAAAAGCTTTTATAAATTGTGTAAAGATCGAACTAAAATTATAAATCCAAATTCTTGGGGACAGAGTAATAAAATTTTTAATCACATATGTTTTTAAACACAATTTTGAAAACATTAGTTTCCATTCAGACAGGATTTACTTTTGTCAAGTTGGTATTTGATAATTTTTTGTCAGGTTGGTATTTGATAAATTTGAGTGATAAAAGTCATGCTATCAAACTCATTTCCAATCAAAGTGACCTGTGACTTTGAAATTAAATTAGCAACAATAATTTATTAATGATATCCTGCATGTGAGATTGCGTCAAGTGACGGCTTTGCCAGCGACCGCCCCGCGGAAACGTATGACAATTGATTATAAAAGTGTGACGTTTGAATTCAATAGTTTTTTGCCAACTTAATTTAAAAGTCATAGGACACTTTGATCAGAATTTTTTTGAAAGCGTGGATGTTTCAGTGGGATATTTTTATCACCCCACTCTTATTATAATTATCTGAAAAGTACCCCTCCATAAAACTTGAATAGGTTTTATGTCCCCTATGATGACTCGCATACTTATTTTATCGTAAGCAAGTCTAAACTTGCTACGTGTTAAATTATTTTCATAAGTTTTTTATTTATAAATAATTAATTAACCACATTTTTGCCACAAAATGATTATTATCGCTAACGAAGTTAGTATATTTTTCATTAACTAGTGCTTAGTAGTGTAAGGTTTGATTTTTTTAAGGAGGAAGAGAAATATAAATCAATCCCATCCGATTTATACCAATCCTCAGACTTCACCTACCTACCACCGACTGCCCCCTTTCCCCCTGACCAACCCACAAACTTGGGAACGGAGGAATACCCAGGCCCTTTCAAATTTGAAGTCCTCATCATCCCCAACGAGCAGAAGTCACCCTGGGAGGTAACAACCCCACAAATGTAATTCTTTTAATAAAAAAATTCTAGTATTCCGAGAAACTAAACAAAATATTCATCGGCATCAACTTGAAATTCCCCGTCGCATTCTCGTTGCAAAACCGCCCCCAGGACCTCCCTCTCTACATCCGCGCCACCCCCGTGTTCAGCCAAACCCAGCACTTCCAAGACTTGGTCCACCGTTGCGTCGGCCATCGCCACCCCCAGGACCAGTCCAACAAAGGCGTCGCCCCCCACATCTTCCAACACATTATGAGATGCAGCAACGAAAACGCTCAATATTTCGGAGATAAAAACAACGGCTCGAGACTTAACATCGTCGTCCCCTTGGCGCACCCCCAGGTGGGGGAAGACATCGTCAAGGAGTTTTTCCAATTCGTGTGCAAGAATTCCTGTCCTTTGGGGATGAATCGGCGGCCGATTGATGTCGTTTTTACGTTGGAGGATGAAAAGTAAGAATTTTTCAACGTCTGGATACGTTTGTCAGTTGTTTGTTATAGTGGGGAGGTTTTTGGGAGGAGGCTGGTGGGGGTAAGGGTGTGTTCGTGTCCGAAACGTGATAAGGAGAAGGAGGAGAAAGACGTGGAGAACGTCGCTCCGCCAAGGAGGAAGAAGAGGAAATTAGAGGATGAAGGACGAAGGGTTGTACCACAGGGTGGCAATAGTGATAATAAAATTTTTACGTTAAATGTGAGTTTTTTTGTTTTAGTTTTTCATTGTTTCTTTTTTTTTTCTTGTAGGTTAACATTGTTGGGAAAAACAATTATTTACATGCTCTCAAGATGTGTCAAGATATGATGGCTAATGAAATTTTGAAAAGGCAAGAACAAGGAAATGGTGATGATTCTGCTTCTAGGAATTGTTACAATGAAATAACCATCATGTTAAGTAAGATTGTAAAAATGCAATTTTTTTTACTGTTTAATTTTTTTTCAGATCGCATGTCCAACTAGTTTTATTTCTACGTTAAATTTTATACTTAATTAATTTTAAATGCAATCTATGCTTTACTGGAAACATCAGTGTTGCTACCTCATATTCCAGTTTATTTTTGTATTTTTATCAATAAAATTCTATATTTTTATGACATTTTTAATTTTTTATTCTACCCTAATCCACAAATTTTTACAACAAACAAATCTTTGAAAAAATGTTTTGAAGTCACAGTCAAGATATTTTGCACATACTCGCGCCCCAGAGAAAAATTCAAAATAAGATAAGATACCAGGAACATGGAAAAAAAGTTTAAGTAATTTAATCTGTCAAAAAAATTTTACATTTATTTTTTGACATTTGACTTTTTTATGTCTATTTAATAATACTGATCATCTTGTATTTGTTTTTTTTTTTAAGTTACAAACATTTTGCCAACAAAAGCCACAAATAATATTAAACACAGTTACAAATAATCTTTTTTTTCATAATTTGAGACTTTATCGAACAAGTATTACAGATATTAGGTAATGTGCATCCAAGTAGTCGTTGAAAGCGATTATTCTAAGATGGCAACCATGGCAAAATTTCAAACAATCCTAACCTTAAAATTATTTTTTCAAACAAATGTGCACCCCAGGTTGCAAAAAATAATTAAAATTAACATAAGGTAGCGAACATAAAGAATTTTGTCATTAGTGATGTAATTAAATTTGTTCTGAATGACATGAATGACACTTTTTGTGTGAATTGGCCTTTAAATTAAAGATGCATTTAGACTTCTACAACCTACTTGATCCACATTAATATAAAATAGAGTAACATTATCTAAAAATGGGATTTTTGGATGTACAGTTGCGGAATTAAAAAATCGGGCGGTATTGTCATTTTCATAACGTAAACTCTAAAACAACTTTTACAATTAATAACCTCATTTTTTACTCTTGTCATGTTTATGTCATTTTAATTTGACTTAAAAAATAGCGTCACTGACAAAAAAGTTTAATTGTCAAATGTCAGTCACGATGACAGAAAGCTAATTTACAGTGAACTTTTTAAAGTGACAGAAAAATACTGCCCGAAGTTTTAATTCCGTAACTGTACATATTATCCGTTCACATAACTGTTGCCGCTAAGCCATAAACCGTACCCCTTGTAAATCTTCATAATCTCCCTCAAACCGAACGCTCGTGCCTGTTTCTTTTGTTGTGAAAATCGAAAATACCTACTGTTTCTTTCTAAATAAAATTATAGTTATTTCTACATCTAATATTCGGTTCGACGAAACTTGCCATGTTCCTTAATTACCTATCAATTAGATACTTAACTCAAATCGGAATTTGGTCCCAGTGCTTAGAAATTCTAATAAATAATTTGACAAAAGATAAAAGATTAAATATTTGGTTACAAAAAGTTAAATTGGGAAACTGTCAGAAACGAAAAACATAATTTGCATTTTAATAACGTTCTACAAATCTACATTAACACTTCGAAGTATCTAATGATTTAATTTTTACATTAAGATATTGTTTTACTAAAATTTTAATAGTAGGTATATTTGTACAACTTCTACTCATCCACACACCTGTTGCAATTCAAAAGAAACAAAAACGAAAACAAATATTTGTGAATGATTCACGGCTTTCCTCACATCAAACGATTTAAGCTCTTTGAGTATCTACTTAAATCCTCATACGCTTATGTATAAGAAAAAAGCTCAGATATGTGTGTTCAAAAGCAGAATTATGATATTTGAATGTGGAGGTTTATGTAAAAAGGAATGAAGCATGATGTTTTCATAATAGTTTCTTTAGAGTAAATAAAACAAATTTGAATGTGCATAATATAAAAAAATGGACTATTCGAAAAATAAAGCTCAATTCTTGGTTAATTTATATATTGCCTTACTGGATAACACCGGTCAAAGCAAATCAAAGAACTTTTCTTTTCTCTATGCATAAAATGCAAATACCACAAAAAGTTTTAACAGTAATCCCTAGTGGCCCAAACCTGGCTATATAAAGTTACTGGGTCCAACTGTGAGCACCATTCAACCTTCGAACGTCAAGACGCAATGGCGCTCAAGTACAGGTAAATCCCCTATTTATGATTAACAATATTACATTTATTTTTAGAGTATTTGCACTTGTCGTGGTGTTAGTCCTCATGGCGTGGATGTTCACGGGGACTCAAGCCCAAGTCACTTTCTCCCGTGACTGGAATCCTGGCAAAAGGACTGAAAATACGGATTTGCATAATACTATGAAAACTGCATCGGCTATTTGTCATCTCCTTATGGTAAATATCAAAGATGCATGAATTTATCTATTTTCTGCTACACTTTTTAGAACCAAGTCCGACAATTGGCATCTTGCGAAAGCAACAACGAACTGGATCCAGGAGCGACTATTTTCAGTGGCCGACCATAAATTGCAATGGTTTCGAGACTTTATTATACTTTACTGTAGTTTATTAAACATTTAGAACAAAATAAATGAAGTATTATTCGAATTTTCCGCCTTTTATTTTATGGGGACAAAATGTTTCAAATTCGTTCTAGTGGGAATTTGATAAACTGAAAAAATGCCATAGTATATTTTTTGCTTTAGAAATAAAATTATCTTAAGCCAAAGTTACCTATTTTATTTAACATACTATACGCATGTATACTTATTAATCAATTCACAACCTCAACTACATTTATATTTAAAAAATATTTTCGGACTTGTGGGATTTAGTCCGAAATTAACATAACCTCACTTTCACTACCAAGTTTATTTTTAATTATTATAATATTCATTTACATTTAAATAGTAAGTCTCACGGTGATGGTTTCGTATTCAAGTGGATGCATTACCAAGTATGTACAACTTTCTGGACCCTAAATTGAGCCCCAAAGTGTCCAGCAGTGCCCCCGCGACTGACAATTTCGAAGCCTCCAACTTAATACATGAAAACGGGGCAATCCGAGCTCGTGGTTACTTGGCTTACACTGTAATCCGCCCCCCTGTTGACCTAGAATTTGAGTTTTTGTGCCCTATCAAGATTTCTTTTGTAACTCTTCAAACAAGTGTGGGGCGACAAAAGTGTACAGGAATTGAACTTTTTGCGAAAAACTCCACTATTCCGTATACTTCAATCGGAAAAGCTGTGTTTGATAAGTCAGGATTGATCTTCTGTGATAGCAAAACTTACTCCAAGACGAAACCGCCCCCTGGTCTTGACTCTGATAAAGAATTGTTTTATTTTAAAAGCGATCAAAGGCGTCTTTTCAGTGACACGACTTGTCTCAAAGTTGTGATTTTTCGGACTGATCGCAGCGTCCCGTGCTTGGGGGCGATTAAAGTGTTTGGTAGCCTCTCTAGGAGTTGTTCTAAAGTGACAGTTGAGACAGTTGGGAGAATCATGGGGGGTACTCCTAAACCAGCTCCTCAGAAACAAAACGAAGTTGAAAGTGGATTAAAAATCCCTCAGGACTTTATTGACGACCTAACTTGTGAAATAATGGCAATTCCAATGACTCTACCAAGTGGAAAAACTGTAGATAGAGACACCCTTGAAAAACACTTAGAGAATGAAAAATCTTTTGGGCGAAAACCCTGCGATCCTTTCACTGGACTGAAATTTACTGAAACTCGTAAACCTGTAATTAATGTTTCACTGAAAAGCAGAATTGACATGTTTTTAATGCAGAATTCGACAAATGCGGCCTTGTTTGGCTTGAAAAGAGCCCTAGGGGGCGAAAATTTTAATTCAGATAATAAAAGGGCGAAATATGGAGAGAAAAAAGAGTGCTGCAATTGTCAAAAGGACCAACTTTTATACAAAATTCCTTGTCAGCATTTTTATTGCAGAAATTGTCTACTAACAATTGATGAGCTGAAGTGTAACTCTTGTGGGCAAAAATTTGTAAGAAGTGACGCTGTAAGATGTCATTAAGTCTTAAAATAAAACGTTTTCATAAAAAAATCTTTACTCATTGTCATATTCAAATATCGTGCCAGAATAAGTAGTAACACATGTGTAATTTATTGAAATTTAGGCAACAAACAATACATATCAGTGCCACTATTAACTATTTTGTTTATTTTATGGTTGCATTTGGATAATTAATAAATTACATATCAGTTCTGAAAATTACTTACAATTTTGGGTTATTTTACGCACAATTTCAAGAAAAATAATGTTCTTATTTAATCCTAGTAGTCCATTCGAATGATTCGAAACGGTCACTTTGCTCTACTCCAACTGTCAAAACGTAAGTAACCTCGAAAAACGTGTATTTGATTTTAATGTTTTATAAAAGTGTCTTATCTAAATGTTTGCAAATTTCACAATTAGTGCAATATTCACTTAATCAAAACCGAAGCACTGTTTTAAAATATTACTTTTCGAAGTTTTGTGGTGAAAAAGTCATGACAAGTGTTTCTAACCTAAAACCACCAACTCGAGTGACTGGTTTAACAACTTTGGACAAGAATCTTTTCAAAAAAGACATAACAGTTCCGTGTCTCGTCATTAAAAACGTGAAAATATCATCGGTGATGCCATTTGTTAAAAATTTCTTGTTAAAAGTGGAAAATTTCAAGCCGGTGCGTAACATAAGCGAGGGGGAAGTCCACGTTTATTTAAATCCGGAATTAATTGCAAGCTGGGATGATTTACCCTCAGAAACACAAAAATCACTAAATGACTTGAATTTAAACCAAAGCAGCTTAGAACTGAAGTCGTTCACTTTAAATTACGAGAATTTTTCCATTGAGAGCATTTTCCGCTCTGTGCTTCCCCCAGAAATGGAAGGAATGTCAAGTTTTACAAAAGTGGGTCACATAGTTCATGTTAATCTCCGCGAGCATCTCGTTCCTTACAAAGACATAATAGGGCAAGTGTTGTTTGATAAAGTTCCAAATTGTCGGACTGTGGTGAACAAGGTGGCTAATATTGACAACACGTATCGAAATTTTCAGATGGAAATTTTGAGAGGCGAAAACAACACTCAGACACAACTTAAAGAAAATAAATGTGTGTTTGAATTTGACTTTTCTAAAGTCTATTGGAATTCTCGATTGTGCACAGAACATGAGAGAATTGTCAATATGATACAAGGTGGAGATGTTGTTTTTGACGTTTTCGCCGGCGTTGGCCCTTTCTCGGTGCCCTTGGCCAAGAAAAAGTGTCATGTTTTTGCCAATGACCTCAACCCGGAGTCGTACAAATGGCTAAATCACAATTTTAGAATAAATAAAGTCGATAAAAATCATTTTCAAACCTATAACAAAGACGGGAGGGACTTTATCTTGCACAAGATTAAAGAATTTTTGCCGAAATTTTCCGACAAAAATATATTTATTTTGATGAATCTTCCGGCAATGGCGGTGGAATTTTTAAATGCTTTCGTCGACTTATACACAGATGATGAGTTGGGACATATTAAGAAACCACCAATCGTTGTTGTTTACTGCTTTGCTAAAGGCGAAGATTATGTGAATATTGCCAAAAAATTATTATTTGAAAATATTGGTTGGAACATTGAAGAAAAAATTCTGGATGTGTATCGTGTAAGAACTGTCAGTTCGTTAAAAGAAATGATGAGGATTACATTTAAATTAGATCGCGATATCTTGCTAAAAAATAGTGGGCAAAAACGAAAAAATTCTTCTGTTGAAGTAGACTCCAAAAAATGTAAAAGAATTACTTGGAACTAATTTTTTATTAATATTCTTTTCCTAGATTGTCATGGGGAAAAACAAGAAGAAACTCAATAGTGTTTTCAAAGTCGCTGGGGCGAAAAGCTTGAAGCTTAAAGCCAAAGCGAAAGCTGTAAAAAGTGAACTAAAACAGGTGGGAGGAAAAATTAATTATGTAACAACATAACGATGTTTCATTTGTAGATTAATAATAAAAATAAAGCAAAAATTATGGAAATGGACAGCGAGCTCGTGAATTTGCAGGAAAAAGTCAGGAACACCACTGAACAGAAAAAAGAAAAGATCCCAATTAAAAGTAAACTACCTTCACATCAGAGTAACCTGAACTCTGAAGAAGTTAGAAAAAACTCACAAGAAACTTTAAATCAACTAAATGCCATGCAGTTGTAGTTTATTTAATAAATTGTTTTGTAACAAAATGGGTTTTATTGTGGGGAATTACCGATTTAGGAGTAGGTCACATGGTTGTAGGCATTATGTTTCTGATGTTTTCTCGTTTAAAGAAAGGCAGTATGAGTTTAAAACACAATATCAACGAATTCTTAAAGTATTTTTTAATACGATTTTGTTATGGCCTGGGACGTTTTTCATTATCCAGTTTTGAAAATTGTGGTTTTATGTGGAGTAGATGCAATGTCGAGTCGGTTAAACGTCCCAAAGTTGTCAATGTTACTGGGAGGCCGGGTGTTGCCTTTTGTTGATAAGCCTGGTACTATCTCACAATTGTAATAAATTTAAATTACTAAAAATTAGTTGTATTCGTTTTATTTGTGTTGTGCAATTGTTGTGTGTGTATTTTTGAAAACTTAACCTAAAATGTGGAAAGCTGCAGCAGGTCAACAAATTAACTTAAACGATCAGCCCACAGAGGATGACGAATGGGAAACAGATCCGGATTTTGTTAATGATGTGAATGAGCAAGAACAACGATGGGGGTCAACCACAATTGCTGGATCTGGGAGAACAGCTGGGGCTATAGAGTAATGAAATTGACTCTTTTTCTGTTCATTTTTCTAATATACATATTTATCTTAGTATGACTCAATTGAGGAAGGAAACGGAGGAAGCAGATGCGTTAAAGAAGAAGAAACAATTGGAGGAAGGTGCCAGTAATCCTGCTTTTGGATATGGAGGGAAATTTGGGATTGAGAAGGATAGGATGGATCAGTCGGCTATGGGGCATGAATATATCGCAAAAGTGGAAAAACATGCCTCACAGAAGGATTATAGTGCGGGGTTTGGGGGGAAGTTTGGCATACAATCAGATAGAGTAGATAAGGTAAGTTGAAGTTTCTTATTTATCAAGATTATTCATAAGTCAACGTATTCTTATCTGATACTCGTATTGAGGAAATTTTTTTTTTACATTTTACACACGTGGTTTTATCTCTAGAATAATTAATTAATTATTATTGAGTACTGGCGAGTTATTATTAAATTGTTAATTTCTTTAATGCAGTTCCTGTTAATATCTGTTTAGCAATAAATAATTTGATAATTTTGTTAGTGTTTATGAATTTTGGAAATATGTGATATTTGTATTAAACTGCTACAGCAAAAACTTATTGAAAGTTATGGATTTCGTCCAATTAATATTATGTTTTTTGAATGTTTATTGAGATAGCTTGGACAGGTTTTGTAAAAATAAGATAATGTAGTTGTCAACGTTTCGCTGATTTTTTTTCAGCTTCTTCAGGACAGTTTGTACGATAATTGAAGTACCGTGCGATAAAAAAAAACAATAAATTAGAGTAGGCGACGATTAATATTCTACAGTTGCATCACCGCCTCCTTAATCAAATGTATCAATATCCCGCCTGGGCATTTCGTAAAAAATTCATTGGAGCAGTGATTCCGATTTTTTCTTAGTTATGGGGGTTACTAAGGAAAAACTGAATAATTTTTAATTATTATCGAAAAATAACGCAATTAATAAATGCTGTGAAGGAAGGATACAACAAAACTAGATACGCCAGGGAGAATTGATATTATGTGATTGAACCCTTTAAGCTAAAAAACTGGATTTGTCAAAAAAATTTCCCCAGATTAAAGCGCCAACGGGAATCACTTGAACTCAAAAAATGCCCAGGCGAGAAAAGGATTATTTCTATGGAGACGGCGATGGTTGCACACTTGTCGAAGTTTCCGTTGACATTTGATGTCAAAAATCAGGATTGCCATCTGAAGGACTTTAATCACCGCCTACTTTAATTTTTTTTTTGATCGCGGTGAATGGAAATACCAAATAAAAAATCAATTAGAGTAGACGTCGATTAAATTCTACAGTTGGCAACACATTGGCTGGGAATCTGGGCTCGAAATTTTCCACACAAACTGAAAGTGAAAATGACCATCCACCGTTTTCCTCTTGCACAGCAATAAAAATTTTCTGCTCTAAAGTGAACATTATTTCACTCAAAAGGAATAAAACTCAAACTTGTCAAAGTTTCCGCTGACATTTGATGTCAAAAATCAGGATTGCTATCTGAAGGACTTTAATCACCGCCTACTCTAGTTTTTTTTTTTTTTTTTTGATCGCACGGTATCACATGTATTACTTACCAGAACTTCTTACAAATTAAATATACATATTAAAACTTATTAATTACTAATACAACATATTAAAATTGTAAAAATCGTTTAGACGCATATTAGTATATTATGTTTTAGTATATAAGTTTTTAAACTTATTTTTGACAAAAAGTTGTAGTACGGAAGTAATTTTTTTCTTTAAAAAATATACAGGCTGATCCAGAAACAAACCGCCATAGTCATTCATAGAATAATTCAAGTTGTCTAGATCTACCAGGTGTGTCAGAACTCGCGCCCGAGAGAAAAATTTCAAGTAAGATAAGATACTAGGAACATGGAAAAATGTTTAAAAAAATTTTGAGAAATTTTTTGACATTTGACATTTTTTTGTCTATTTAATAATACTGAGGATCTTGTACCTATATGTATGTTTTTTATAATTATTTACAATTATACAGATATACATTCTACTATTTTGGCGTAAAGTACTGGAATATTTTTTTTCTATTTCGGTGTTAGAATAGGTCTATTCCAGCACGCAAATGACGTCATTTGCGTGCTGGAATAAGTCGTTCGCGGTAATTTAATTTTAGTGACGGACTTTCTTCACAATTCATTTTCAAATGTGAAAATAAGAATAATTGTAATTTTTTACAGCCGCCTAAAATTCCACACATAAATGTTGCCAACCGTCGTAAAATTCTCTGGAAAAAAAAATTTTCGTTTTTTAATTTATAAAATGATATAAAGCGGCTGAATAGAAAAAATAGTAGAAAGCACTTGTTGCAGAAGGTTCTTCAAACACTCATTTGTTCCTCAACTCGCCGCTTCGATGCTCGTTTCGGAATTTCAAATTTGTGCTTGAATAGATAGACCTTCTGCAGCTTGTACTTTAATATACTATTTTTCGTCGACTGAAAATAATTATCGAACTTTGTTTTGAAAACAACGGCTTTGTGTTCGAATTCAGTGGAGAAGTAAATGCTTTACATTGCGAATTAATTTGTTATTCTATTTAGAAAATATTGACCTTTATTTATGGCGTTAGTTCCACAATGTACAACAGTGACTGTACAACGTTAAACATTTGCGAGTACAAAGCTTTGATCTGTAATTTGATTACACGTATTTGTTTATATTAATTAAGTATTAATTACTAATCGAAGTTTCATTTGTAGCTGAATCTACAGGAAAAAAGTGCATGTTGATTTTCCTCATATTAGAGCTTTCCTAGAATGTTTTAGAGCTTTGATCTATAATTTATGTACCTACCAGTGGATATTCCATTTACAAATAGATAGAATTGTTTTTTTTTTCTATTTCGTATTAGACAATTATATCAAATAACAGTGCAATGAAAAGCAACTTTGTAACACTGTTGTTATTGACAACATTTTATGATTTATGCAATACTTTCATTCAATTCAATTTAAAAAATGCTCAATAGAAAAAATAGTATAAACAACACGTGTTATATGCAATCTCTCATTGTGATACTCCTGCATTATAACACAATTAGAGGGTTTGTATTTTCATATAATGTTTTTACAAAAGTTGTTACAAGAGATACGAGGTCGGTTAAATTAGACAAGGAATTTAAATCTGTCATTGTATTTTTCAAGGCGCTCTTTATATCAGAGTTCATGCCATATTTGATTTCTGTATTTTTGAAAAGTCAAAAAAAAGAGTTTTTGCAAAAAGTGCTTTGGAGAAACGCCAACCATTTTAATTAACAAATTAAATTTTGACAGTTCAATTGAATTTGGATCTGGAACTAACATTTCCGTCAAGCTTATCTCTTTAAAAACTATGGTTTGAAATAGGAACAACGTGTTAAACTAGAATTTATTCTTCGCAAAACAAAACAACACGCAATATTAATAAGCGTATTCAGAGGGCCTTGGTTTTCCCATTGGTGTGACTCCCTCTGGTGGCTAAAATGACCAGAGTTTCAAAAAACTTTCCTTTCAAATCTAGGAATCCCGTTATCACTTGGCAATTCAAGCGTCACACTCAAAACTAATCTCAAATTTCTCAAACCCAATTTTCAAAAATTTCGGACAGCCTCAAAAAGGTAGATTAAAAATGTGACCGTATATTGAGAACGAAATTTTATTTTGTTTTTGAGTTTTTTTTTTGTCAAAATTGCAATTTATGTATTTTTTTAAATTATAAAGTAGATAAGTAGTTGTAATCCTTAGATTATAACCTTCATGAGAAAAATGGTTTTATTGTGAGTTGCTATTTAAAAAAATAGAAAAATTCAAGGCGTTCTTGATGTCAGAGATATAACACTTAATTTTGGATTTTCTCATGGACACCATATTCAATTTCTGTATTTTTGAAGTCTTTTTGTTCCTGATTAAAACGATGTATTACACGATATGATCAAATTTTACATGCTGATCAAAATTAAGAAAAAGCGTTTTTGCAAAGAGTGCTTTGGAAAAAACGCCAACAAGTTTAATTAACAAACTAAATTTTGACAGTTCAATTGAATTTGGATGTGGAAGTAACATTTCCGTCAAGCTTACCTACTTAAAAACTAAGGTTTTGAAATAGGAACAACGTGATATTAATCTGCAATATTAATAAGCGTAGCTTTTTGATTCAGAGGGCCTTGGTTTTCCCAATTAGTGTGGCTCCTTCTGATAGCTAAAATGCCGAGAGTTTTTTTTTCAAATCTAGCAATCCCTGTTGTCACTTGGCAATTCAAGCGTCACACTCAAAACTAACCTCAAATTTCTCAAACCCAATTTTTAAAAATTTCGGGCCCACACAAGCCATACCGAGATGACTCGGGACAATACAGCCTCAAAAAGGTAGATACCAAAACCTGGGACGCGTCAAAACCCGGCCGATTATGGAATGGTCCCGGAACTTACGAAATACCCGTCGACCTCTACGCCGAAAATCGCAAACGTCTAATCGAACAAATTCATGCGAAAGATCCTGGAAAGCCGGTAATCCTTCTGCAGGGAGGCGACGAAATACCCTTTTACGACACGGACATCACTTACGCCGTCTTCCGACAGGAATCCAACTTCATGTGGACTTTTGGAGTCACGGAACCTGGCTGTTTGGGGGCTATAGACGTCGCCGGGAGGAAAACATACCTTTTTGTGCCCCGTTTCCCCACCTCGTATGTCATTTGGAGGGGGCCTCTGCACTCCCTTGAGGATATAAGTAAAAAATACCAAATCTCCAATGTGTACTATAAGGACAATATTGCCGCCATCTTGAAAAACATCAATCCGAGTGTCTTGTTAACACTCAAAGGAGTCAACAGTGACAGTAATTTGGCGACCCGCGAGGCGCATTTTGAGGGAATTGACAAGTTTAGAGTCAACAACACGCTCCTCTACAACGAAATTGCCAATTTGAGGGTTTACAAAACCGATTTCGAACTCGACGTCATGCGATATGTGGGTGACATAACCTCGGAGGCCCATCGCAAGGTAATGCGTTTTGCCAAACCCGGCAAAACCGAGTACCAATGCGAATCCGAGTTCCTCTACTATTGTTACGCGACGGGGGGCTGTCGCCACACATCCTACACTTGTATCTGCGCCTCGGGGGGAAACGGCGCTATTCTACACTACGGTCACGCCGCAGCCCCCAATAACAAAATGATTGAACCTGGAGATTTATGTCTTTTCGACATGGGGGCCAACTACTTCGGCTATTGTTCAGACATCACGTGCACCTTCCCCGCCAATGGCAAATTTTCACCAAGTCAGAAACTTATCTACGAGGCGGTTCTTATCACCAACACCACCGTTTTCAAGTCACTAAAACCGGGGGTTTCTTGGCTCGAGATGCACACGCTTGCGCACCGAATTCTTTTAGGTGAATTAAAGAAAGGGGGGCTGTTGAAAGGAGATGTTGAAGGCATGGTTGCTGCGGGGTTGGGAGGGGTGTTTCAGCCCCACGGTTTGGGGCATTTGCTGGGGTTGGATGTGCACGATGTTGGAGGGTTTATTGGGGCAAAGAGGTCGGAATTGAAAGGTGCGTCGATGTTGAGGACGACGAGGGATTTGAAAGAGAGAATGGTTATTACACTGGAACCGGGATGTTATTTTATTGATGTTTTGTTGGATGAGGCTTTGGAGAATGCAGCGATGTCCAGGTTTCTAGTGCCTGATGTTATTAAGAGGTTTCGAGGGTTTGGAGGGGTTAGGATTGAGGATAATCTTTTGATTACCAAAAATGGGGCTATTAATTTGACTAAAGTGCCTAGGACCGTGAAAGAGGTCGAAGATTGGATTGCTGGCAAAGATAAGGCGTATCATTAAATTCAACAAATTCGATGTATTTACGTATTTTAATAAAGTTTTATGTGTTATTATATCATTATATCAACTTGTGCTTTTTTATATTTTTTGCATTTTTGAAATGAAATATTGTGAATTTTTTCTATTCACAGCATAAAACAGAAAGCTTTAGTTGAAAATTGCTTAATCTTTTTGAAAACATTACCTTTAGTCAACTGCAATACAAATAACGATTTTTTTCTTAATTTAGCAAGTCTAAAGTATGTAACCAAGCCTTTTTTTTTAAATCATTTGCCTTCCGGAAAATAATAACCAATATAAAGTAAAGTAATATAAAAAGTGTGATTGTATTTTGAGAACGAAATTTTATTTTGTTTTTGAGTTATGAGATTTTTTTAAAATTAGATATAAAGTAGATAGGTAGTTCTAATTCTTAGATTATAACAATCATGAGAAAAATGGTTTTATTGTGAGTTGCTATTTAAGAAAATAAAAAAAAAATTCTATTTTGCGTCTGAAAGAAAGCTTATTATTTATTTCGATACCAAAACCGATACTTTAATAACATCGATTCGGGTGCTGAAATAGACTAGTACAATTTACTTTCTAGAGGTTGGTAATTGTGATTTTCAGCGGCGTTTTGAGCGATTTCTCTTATTTCAGGTGGTGTGCATGTAATATTTGCATTACTCATTGTTAATTCAACAAAATTTTGAAAAATTTTCTAGACTTGACACTTCGAAAATCGAATTTTTCAAACTTTGTGACATTTATTACCAACCACCACCTTCTTCACCTTCTTAGGGCAAAAGTTCCTAAATTACTTTTATGTTAAAAAAGTATGTAAAATGCGCACAAACAAAAACAAAAGAAAATTTATTCACTTGGTATAATAATAAATGTGAGGCTATAAAAATCTAAAAAATGGATTAAATTTCTAGTCTACTTACACAGCATATTTTTTCGTATGTTAACCTATATGTATATTAAATTTACATATTAAAATTGTTATTAACATATTCTTATTTTTAATGCAAATTTACTTAAAGGGTAATTCATGTAAGTAGCTATTTTTTGTTGACGTTGAAACTATAAAAAGCGCCCTTCAGTTTTTTATTTTCTTTATCTCTAAAAAGTTATTTTGTTTTTGCACCATTTACACAAAAAAGTTTCCACAAAGAAATTGTGATACGAGCCGCGTAGCTGCCAGTTTATTAACAAACGATTGCTTGAATGGTCTATTCGAAACTAATTCCATACCTCTTAAAATTTTAACTTTCACTTCAAATATGGATCATCTCCAATCTATAAAAATCTTCTCTACCGTGTTTTATATAATTTTTTTTTTTCACTACTAGCACATTTATTAGTTTATTACCTATTTAGAAACATAACGGCGAGAAATATAGTCTTACGTAATGGATATGTTGCCTCAGACGTAACATGTCATAATTCACAACTACTATTTTAGTATTTTTGTTAATTCACTATTACTTACAGTAGGTAAGTAATTAATTGCTAACTTAAATTGTAACTGTTGGAAGTATAATCGTATCAACAATAAATTACTCCCTAGGATTTAGGGATATTCGTGAATAGGTTGCCATAGATTTGGTTAGGTTGGTTTTTAGTGACAAACAAAAGATATCATTGTAACTAGTATCAAAAATTTAGGTTAAGTCACCTGTCAGTTTGTATAGATAACTCAATTGATAGTTGACAGCAGGTTGACAGAAAACGTCAACCGTCAACAACAAGGGATAACCAACACTAGGCATTCAAAATTACTTCTGAAAATTCTAGTTACAAACAACATGAAAAACGTAATTTTCTTAAAAATTCATAATAAAATTAATAAATATAGTAGGCGGTGAATCGGTGATTAAAGTCCTTCAGATGGTAATCCTGATTTTTAACATCAAATGTCAGCGGAAACTGACAAGTTTGCGTTTTATTCATTTTGAGTGAAATAATATTCACTTTATAACAGAAAATTTTTAATGTTACAAGTTTTTACAAAAATCCTGCACAAGACGAAAACGGTGAATTGTCATTTTCACTTTCAGTTTGTGTGGAAAATTTCCAGCCCAGATTCCCAATCCAACATTTAATCGACGCCTACTCTAATTTTTTTTTTGATCGAACGGTATTTTTTTATTCTTATCGTAAATGAGGTCATGTTATTATTGTATTTCTGCATCTATTAAAAGAATTTTCTAACTTAATAATGTAAAATATTTGTTAAAATAACAAAAAAAACTGCAAAGAAAAGGGAAAAAGTGTTAAAATTGGCACTACTTACATGAAATAAACCCATTTGTTGTTTTGACAGTTTTGACGTAGACAGAAGAATGAAAGGTGGGATTATCGTGATGTTATTTAATGAGGAGGTTTAAGTCTTTTTTTATTTGATTTTGTATTAATTTTATCTCGAAATATTTTCTTTAGTACTTGTGATGTGATGTGATATCGGTATTTGCCCACCTCTAATCCATTATTGCCACTTGGAGAGAAATACAATTTTACAACCTTTTGACAAACTAAATAATAGCATCTTTTAAATTATTAATTATTATGACTTAATATGACTTGGCTTGATTTTGAAATCAGTTAAAATTTAGACTTTTGCTTCCCACTATTTGATGGTACATAATAGTTATTCTCAATTTATTAAATGTTTGTTTAACCCTTTTTTTGCATTTTTAGAGTGCTGTTAGTTGGGAACACAAGGAAAAAATCGAAAAACACGCCTCGCAGAAAGACTACGTGACAGGTTTCGGGGGCAAATTCGGCGTCCAAACAGACCGTCAAGACAAATCGGCCGTTGGTTGGGACCACATCGAAAAAGTGGAAAAACACGAATCCCAGAAAGGTTTTTTGTGATAATTTTCCAAACAGAATTCACCTTTTGGTATTCGTAGATTACGTCAAGGGTTTTGGGGGCAAATTCGGTGTCCAGTCGGACCGCCAGGACAAGTCGGCTGTGGGTTGGGACCACCATGAAGCCCCCCACAAGCACGAAAGTCAAACCGACCACAAAATTGGCTTTGGTGGAAAATTCGGAGTTCAAACGGATCGAGTAGACAAATCCGCTGCAAGTTTTAACGACGAACCTGCCAGAGTCGGCACTAATTACACCAAAGTTAAGCCGGATATTGGAGATGCGAAACCGAAAGATTTGAGAGCCAAATTCGAAAATATGGTAGGTGATTGAATGACACGATTTGCAATTTTTTTTCCAAAGAGTTCACAGGAGAATCAAGAAGTCGAAAAGATTTCAACTCCCAAGAAAACGGTTCATGCCAGAGCCGCCATGTTTAATAATAAAACTGAAGAAACGCCACAAAGTACACCAGAAAGAGTGCCTAAAGTGATGGACTCGTCGAAAACAGCATTTTTGACTCAGACGAGTCAAGCGGAAACACCAGATACTGATGTGCGAGTTCCGAAGAGTTTGGATGAGTCGAAGAAGGCATTTTTGACGCAAGAAACTCGAGAAGAAACAAAGTTTGTTCCAGGACATTTGGATCAGAGTAAATTGGCTCAGTTTAATAACGAGTCCAACTCGCGAGATAACTACCAGACTAGTGACGTAAATAAGGAGATACAACAGTTGAAAGAAATGCAACAACAAAGACAGTTCGAAGAACAGGAAGATATCTATGAAAATGTCACTACTAGTCAAGTCACAGCTGAAAACACCTCGCCTAGTGAAGAACAAGAAGATGTTTATTATACAACTGATGAAATTGTTGATACTGGGATTTCCGCAGTCGCTCTCTACGATTATCAAGCAGCGGCTGATGATGAAATTTCGTTTGATCCTGATGATATTATTACACACATTGAAAAGGTAAGTTGTAATTACGGAGAACTATACAGGGTGTTCAGTTTTTATTGTTACAAATTTAAACAGGTGATAGAATATTAAATTCTAAGACAAAAGTTTCCTATAAAGCTATACCCTCTGAAAGAGATGCTTTTTTAATGGGGTGTACACACTATTGCAGAATAGATAAAATTGCAAAAGCTGGTTCAGCTTTTTAATCACCTGAACGAATTCAAAGATTAGTTGTCGATTGGGCATCTTAAACGGTAAAAAGAATTTAATATTTAGTTTTTATCCTCTTTATGGTCTGTAAGACAAATTGTACTCAAATACGGTGAGTTTTTTGTGAAAAATTATGGAATTTAGAATTCTTTGGTTAAAAGTAGCAAAAACCAACAGTCAAAGTAGTTGGGGTACTTTTTACCCTAAACACCCCAGTTTAGGACGCCCCTGAGTAAAAATTTCTACATTTTATCTTTGAATACGTTTAGGTGTATAAAGGTTTGTACTAAATTTTGAAATTCATTTTTAATGGTTTCTAAAATATTGGAAAAAATCCATTAAAAAATGCACCTTTTTCAGAGGATGTAGTTCCCTGATATGTATAATATTTTTCGATACATGTTCATAGGAAACTTTTATCTTAAAATTGAGATCACCTTTTTAAATTTGTAACAATAAAAACGGTGCACCCTGTATACTAGGAGACGAAACGAGATACAAAATTGCTCGATTTTTTGGACACTAAAAAGTAGTATGGCGAAGTAAAAATGAGGGCGCTTAGAGCGTTTTACCGTCTCAGTTTCAAATCATTTTAAATAAATTTAAATTCAACCAGTGTACTAATTGCTTGGAAAAAATGCGAAAATGTTGAGCTTTACATTCTTAATAAGCTGTAAAAAACGAACGACTATATTTTTCACGAGAAATATGAGAAAAAAAATATTTAATTTAAAATCTCTGCTCCGTTACAGGTTTTTCAAAATGCTGCGAATACGGTTGAAGATACAAGAAAAATGTAAGAAAGAAAGTTGTAGAGAATAACATTTTCTAGTAAAAAGTCCGCAAGACCATACCTTGTTGCATTTTGACTGGTGATTCATTGCCAAAGGAACACTTTAAAACCTAAACCATTGAAGATAGAAATATGGTCTCGCAGACTTTTTTGTAGAAAATTTTATTCTCTACAATTTTGATTCTTGCACCTTTTGTGTATTTTTAACCATATTCGCAGCGTTCTTAAAAATATTGGGCGGAACGCAAACTGATAATTGTTTATAATTTATTTTTAATACTGTTTTCGATATTTTTGAGAACGCTGCGAATACGGTTGAAAATACAAAAAAAGTGTGGGGAACAAAGTTGTAGAGAATTAAATTTCATACAAAAAAGTCCGCGAGACCATATCTCTATCTTCAACCATTTAGCTTTAAATTATTTTTTTGTCTCTTGACCACCGTTAAAAATGACACGTATTCTCGTCACTTGAACGTTTTGAGCGTCTTTAGGATCTAAACCATTGAAGATAGAAGTATCTCTCGCAGACTGTTTCCTGAAAATTTTATTCTCTAGAACTTTTTTTTTACATTTTTCTTGTACCTTTAACCGTATGTGCAGCATTTTCAAAAATTTGAGACGGGGCGCAAAGGTTTGAAATTTTTTTAAATATAGTTTTCAGTAGAATTTTTGCATTACTTTTATCTCTTACTATTAAAAATTTAATGCCCCATTTGTCTATATTTTTTATTTGCGTTTTGCTCACCGTTATGTAAATAAAGGCATTTTTTTATTTCATTGCTCTTAAAACTTAAACCGGAAAGGAACAACTGCTCTATCTGGCCTCGCTAACGGAACTATCATTTTGTTTTACATCGTGTCGTATCCTAGTCTTTAGGAATCTGTACTTGTAATTAATTAATATTTATAATTATATGCTTGTTTTTAGATTGACGAAGGTTGGTGGAGGGGCTTGTGCAAAGGCAAATACGGACTATTTCCTGCAAACTACGTACAAGCTAATGAGTGATAAATTTACTTGATTTACTACATAAGGCCTATAAAGTACTTAACGGGCTTACTTGCCCACATTTTATTTTTTTTTACTGTTTTATTCAAATGACTATTATGTATGTATATGCTTCCATTCGTAAAGTTTTATAATAAAGTATTTTAAATTGATGTGTTTTGTTTCAATTTTGCGGTAATGAAGCACACTTAAAAATTATTTTTTCTTCAGTTTGTTTATTGCACAAGTGGACTGATACATTGTTACAAAATTAACGCATTTTTTTAAATTCAAAACTTCATTTAAATTGGCAATTTTTGCCGTCCGTTCTAGAAATATTAATTTTTTGTTATTTAACAATTAACTTTGGTTGGCAGTAAAAAGCACTGAGGCAAACATTTGAGACAATTCTTTGTTGCAGAACGAATATCCATTGCAGTATGGTTGTTGTAACTACATACAGGGTGTGTCAGAACTAGCGCCCCAGAGAAAAATTTGAAGTAAGATAATATACCGTGCGATCAAAAAAAAATAAATTGGAGTAGGCGTCGATTAAATTCTACAGTTGGAAAAACATTGGATGGTAATCTGGGCTAAAAATTTTCCACACAAACTGAAAGTGAAAATGACCATTCACCGTTATCGTCTTTTTTTTTTCTGCTCTAAAGTGAACATTATTTCACTCAAAATGAATACAACGCAAACTTGTCAAAGTTTCCACTGACATTTGATGTCAAAAATCAGAATTACCATCTGAAAGGCTTTACTCACCGCCTACTCTAATTTATTTTTTTTTTTCATCCATGGAAAAAATGTTTAAAAAATTCTATTAAAAAATTTTGACATTTATTTGTTGACATTTGACATTTTTTATGTTTAATGATACTGATGATCTTGTATGTTTTTTTATTATTTAGTAAGCGTACAAAAATTTACAATTTTGGATACAACTTCCTTGTTTCCTCTTTTAATAGCCTGTAGCAAAAAACATGGAAAATTATTTTTCCAAGAGAAATAAATAGAATTAAAGTGCAAAATTTAAACTCTCATTATAGATAGAATTTTTTTAACATTTTTTCCAGGTTTTTGGTATCTTACCTCACATGACATTTTTTTCTGGGGCGCGAGTTCTGGCGCACTCTGTATGGATTAGTTGCAAATACATTGAATGAGCTCTCCCAAAAAAATCTTGATCAACAGTTTTTAAGAACGTTAATTTTAAGTATGAGAGAGCGTGGCCAGGTTGATAATACGAGAAGTAAAAACACTATTTTTATTTATTGTTTTCTTGTAGATGCTGCAATTCTCCATTTTGCGTTATTTCGTTTTGAGTTTTGAGCCGAAAGGCGTAGCATCAAGGGTAATAAATAAAGGCGAACTAACTCACGTAACGTTGAGATTAAGAAAACAGTACTTGAAAAACATTATTTTAAAATTCTGTATTAGTTTTAGATTATTTCTGTTATTCCGTTATTATTTCGTTATTTCGTTATTGATCTTTAATTTTAAAATCTTTAAATGTTAAAATAAAAAAAATTATATAATTATTATGAAACTGATAGATGCTAGTCTAGTGCATCGTTTGAAGTTATTTTCCGCGGTGTCCCAAAAACAATGTGTAAACGAGTCATCCTTGGATTTGAAAACGTATGTCTGTGAAACGTCAAATAAAATGACAAGTCAAAATTTAAAATGGCATGATAAAATAGATGATGATTTTAATAGGTAACTAAATTTATAATTTGCCTTCAAAAAAGAATCCTATTGTTATAATACGAGTACGTCGGCGACTAATTTTGCTGTTTTACCGTTCAACTTATCATTTTCTTGACGTTTCATTTCCAGTTAGTTCAAAAATAGACAAACGTTCCAATATTTAATGCCTTCAAAAAAATTCATAATTGACTTTTTAGAATAAAATTTGAAATGTGTAATGGGAAAATGTTTTTAATTCAATTAATTATTACAATATAATAAATATTATAAATATTTATTACAACAATTAGGTAATAGTTATTTACTTAAATTTTACAGTGCGAAATGAATTTGAAGCGCGACGCGCAGCGAGCACTGTAAAATGGTTAACGCACAAGATTTGTATTAAGTTTTTTGACCGACGTTTAAACAAAAATCCAAAATTACAAAATTCAGAATTAATACAAATAAATACGTTTGACAATAAATATCACGGTGGCTATGCGCTCTAATGTCAAACAATTAAGAAAGACGCAAAAACATCTCAGACACAAAGTTTTGTTATCGTTGACTTGGTGGTGACTTTATGCTTCAAAATGTTGAGCGATGATAGCCCCATGTGTACTCCACCAGAAATCAGAAGTGCTGCAGAAAATATTTCAACCGAGCTATTGCCCGAAAAATCATGAAGACCATGTGTTTATAAAGTGGTGTGAAGAAAAAGGAGTTATGATTCAAAGGTTGTGTATCGCGCGTTTTATTAAAAATGTTATCATACTTATCATCTTAATAATTTTGGCCGTGCGGTAAAACTGTCACTTTACGCACGGCCAAGCCACGGTCGTGCGTAAAATACCCAGGCTGTAAATACAGTCTTTCAATAGGTGTCAATTGTACGTTAATTTGACATTTACATGTCAGGAGGTCAAAAAAGTTTTAGCACATGCGTTTTAAACTCGTTCAGATGCACGCAACAAATTTATTAGTGTTTTAGCGGCTTTTCACATGGTAGCAGCATGTAGTTCACTGTTGTGTGTTTTCTTAGTTTCAATTTTTCGCTTTCCAAGTTATAAGGTAATTAATTGAGAATATTTTTTGATTTTTTGTAACAATTTCAGAATAGAATCAAGAAAAATTTTATTTTTTTACCAATTTTATACTTAAACACACTATTGCATTTTTATTTTTTATATTCAATTTGAATTAGGGTTTAGAAAAAATTAAAATGAGAGCAAATTTTTATTTTTGTTGTTATTGCTTAATTATGATTAATTTTACGTTTGAGTAAATGAGCACTTAACCACAATTCAAAGAATTTGATTATATAAAGCTTTATATTTTTTATTCAATCCTCTATGTTAATATGAATTTTATCTATTTTTTTCTTCATGTTAAAATGAAATTTTATCGTCTAGATGATAAAAAATACATCCATTGTTGTTTTTCTGCAGTTGTTAGTTGCTAACGATCTTTGACATAAGATTTTATTGTTGAATTTTACTTTGACATTTGTAAATATTGACCAAATTGACTACAAAATTAGTGAGGATTGAATAAAATTTTATATTGTACACGACGATAAAATTCTCATTATTTTTTTGAGCATATTAGCGACTCGGCTGACGTCTTGACGCTAAATTGCTCGCAAAGAGAAAATTCAATTTTATCAAATTGAATTGTATAATAAATAAGTATGAACTTTAATTTTATCTCGGCGCATCCACCAATTTTAACTCGGGTTTGATTATCAGTTTCATGAATCCACAAAAAAGATAAACATAAAGCAATAGCCGGTTGTGGTTGGGCATCACATGTAAACATGTGAAAATTTATAGCATGAGTATATTGAAAAAATATTCATTTTCACATATGCTGTTACAAAATAATTAAAAAATAAATTAAGATATTTACTGACTTTGTTTATTTAATTAAATCAAAGGTGGGTTAACAAATTAAATTTAATTGCAATGAAATACAGGCTGCGCCAGAACACGAGCCCAAGAGAAAAATGCTATATAAGGTAAGATACCAGGAATATGGAAAATATGTTAAAAAAATTCTATCTATAAAAATTTAGAAGTTAGGAGAGATTAAATTTTGTACTTTAATTTTATTTATTTCTGTTGCAAAAATAATTTTCCAAATTTTTTTGCTACAGATTATTAGAAGAGAAAACCAGGAAGCTGTATCCTAAATGGTGTACTATACTATAAAAAAAGAATGTTCCTGGTATCTTATTATCTTACTTGAAATTTTTCTCTGGGGCGTGAGTTCTGGCGCACCTTTAATTCGACTTATGAACCCACTCTAAGCTTCCTAAAAGTAGTTAATTTACGACACAACGGCTGAAAATTATTCAATAAAAATAGTTATAGTTATATACAGGGTGCGCCAGAACTCGCGCCCCAGAGAAAAATGTCAAATGCCCTCGGCAATGGGTCGCCAAAAAGTGCAGCCGAAGAAGTAACTTTTCCTTGCATAAGAAAGTTGAGAGACCCTTAATTCCACCAATCCCAGAAGAGCACCTCAGGGTGTGATTGGAAAATTATATCCGTTGCTAGGTTACAAAAATAATACCAATTTGCCTAAAAGTTTCAAAAAATTGCTGGATTACTGTAATTGTGTTTTTGACATAACACGCTATTTTCGAATATTTTTGTCTCTGAAGATGCTGTGCACAAGTATAATGAGACGAAATCGTTGAAAATTTTTGAAAAGTCGATTTCCATTGTAGTGAACCAACAACTGTGTATTTTAATACTTTTAGATGTTTTCTTCAGAAGCATTGTTCCTACTTAACTTTTTCTTCGATATGAGTGATATGACACAGACAACAAGCCGAAAACTAATGCTAGAAGCGAGTTAGATTAACCTGAAAGACAAAAACGTACGCCAATTTCTTTACTTTATTGCAAAAGTAACAGAAAAATGTACTTTTTATAAGAATTTGTGCTTGAACAAATCAGGTTACGATAATTTTTACTGTCATAATTGTAGATTTACCAAGGTATTTTTGTTCGGTAGTGTAACCTAAAAACATGCATTGCACTAAGACCCCTTGCTTCCTTTTTCATTAAACAATCCACAAGAGTATTGCAATATTGATATTGAAATTAGTGATATTCCTCAACAGTCCACAAATTTACTGAAAATCATTGCTGAAATGCTCCCGGAAAAAAGCAATTGGAATTTTCTCAGTCAGTCCACAAATTTACTGGAAATCATTGCTGAAATGCCCCCGGAAACAAAGCATTTGAAATTTCGTCTGCCCTAATACGAGTATGTCAGTTATAATGAATACAACTTCTCTGTTGCATCTACTTAGTGCCATCTTAAAAAATCAAGAATAGCTTCTTCATTTTCAACTATGCGCGCTGTTCTGGGAACAGCTCTAATTTCTGTTCTGTCTGATAAGACTTGATCGCTCTTGCACCCTGACAATGGCCCTCAATGGGACCTTATAGCATGGGCGATTTCT